GTAATTGTTGCAATATCTCGGTAAGTACTTGGTCGATTGCGCTGAAAGTTGGCATGTAGGTAGGCACCCACTAGGCAATGCATATCCATGTGCCAGAGTTGGGGTGCTGCTGCACGTGCGCACGTGCAGGGGTCGATTCCAGATCTCGAGAACGGCTGGACCGATGGCGCTCAAATTTGGTACATGGTTTGGGACCGGTTAGTAGGGTGCCGTGCACAAGTCAGTTGGGACCCATTTTGCACGTGCGCACGTGCAGGGTGCCGCTTCCAGATCTCAAGAACGGCTGGGCCGATTGTGCTCAAATTTGGCATATCGCTAGAGACCGGTTAGTAGAGTGCCGTGCACAAGTCAGCTAGAGGTACCCCCTCGAAATTTCGCACGTGCAAGGCTCACCCTCTCGCTCGCTCCGTTAGTCGCCCCAAAAGGCGTTATACTGGTTGCAATATACTGTCTTATGAGAATACTATATACTATATTCAAATAACGATTATATATATATATATATATATATATATATATATATATATATATATATATATATATATATATATATATATATATATATATATATATATATATATATATATATATATATATATATATATACATACATATATATATATACCGGGTGGCCCAGAAAAAAACGTTCCCAACTTTAAATCAATATTTCTCAGAAAGTGATAAAGATACAACATTGAAACTTCGAATAGTCAATGCGGCACACATCTTCAGTAAATGGTGTGATTTTTATGTTATTCGGTCAATTACTTTTTTAAACAGTTCGTGTTTCTAGCATGCCATGTAAAAATCACTTTTTTGCTCTGATGTTTACCAAAAATGTGAGTGAACGGGCCACTTCCATCTCGGCACCACGGCCTACAGCCATGACTGCTACTGGCAACTAGTGTCATTGGTGGTTCAGGCCTCAGGGTGCCACATTCCCTCTAGCTTTTTTCCTTATTCGGTCGATTTACTATTTGATCTTCTTGAAGGGAGGGCGATCAGCAGTAACCCATGCACCCATGCAGAGAGACTCTCTCTCTCTCTCTCTCTCTCTCTCTCTCTCTCTCTCTCTCTCTCTCTCTCTCTCTCTCTCTCTCTCTCTCTCTCTCTCTCTCTCTCTCTCTCTCTCTCTCTCTCTCTCTCTCTCTCTCTCTCTCTCTCTCTCTCTCTCTCTCTCTCTCTCTCTCTCTCTCTCTCTCTCTCTCTCTCTCTCTCTCTCTCTCCTCTCTCTCTCTCTCTCTCTCTCTCTCTCTCTCTCTCTCTCTCTCTCTCTCTCTCTCTCTCTCTCTCTCTCTCTCTCTCTCTCTCTCTCTCTCTCTCTCTCTCTCTCTCTCTCTCTCTCTCTCTCTCTCTCTCTCTCTCTCTCTCTCTCTCTCTCTCTCTCTCTCTCTCTCTCTCTCTCTCTCTCTCTCTCTCTCTCTCTCTCTCTCTCTCTCTCTCTCTCTCTCTCTCTCTCTCTCTCTCTCTCTCTCTCTCTCTCTCTCTCTCTCTCTCTCTCTCTCTCTCTCTCTCTCTCTCTCTCTCTCTCTCTCTCTCTCTCTCTCTCTCTCTCTCTCTCTCTCTCTCTCTCTCCCTCTCTCTCTCCCTCCCTCTCGGGCCCTCGAGCGGGGGCCCGAGAGAGCGGGCCCCCGCTCGAGAGAGCGGGGGCCCGCTCTCTCGAGCGGGCCCCCGACAGAAATTTCGGGGGGGTCAACTGACCCTCTGACCCCCCCCCCCCCCCCCTGGCTGCGCCACTGAAATCGTGTCACATGCACGGCGCACACGACACTGCACTGCTAGGCCGTAGCCGGAACTGAAACGTGGCCTGTAGGTAGGCACCTACTGAAACCCACAGAGCCCAGAACTGAGAGGTGAAGATAGCGAGAGGAGAAAAAGCGGAAATTAAAGAAATTAATAAATCGTGCAAAACCAGCCGCTGACTTGCCCAGCGGCCGGACTTACCTGCTGTTGCAGTCATTTGTCGACGTCTTTGAGTGATGCTCCTGACAATCTCAAGCCGATTCACGTCAAGCAGTGAACTTTGCGCCTCATGTCCAAATCATAAGGATCGTAACGATGTGGAAAATGTGACACCGATCACGATTGGGCTATATTGCCATCGACACGCTTCAGCGGCCTCGGAAATCCATTTGAAACCGGTCCCAGTGCACCGTCCCGTTCCGGGCTCCGACATTTGATATCAACAGCCTCCATCACCATGGCAGTCAACACTGGCTAGGAATTGTCCACGCGGTCCCACACTTCTCCAACTAATAAAGACCAGTTTTATCATTTTCTGTCACACTGATCACCAACACACCACAAGAGCACCAACACCGACACGCCTGCAATACAAACACGATCAAAATCAACACCATCCGGTCACGCGCCCGCACTGCACATCAGAAATAACGCTTACTGCGCAGACGCATGCAGCCGAACCCGTCTCGCGGCCGGACGTCTGTCTCATCATCATTGGTGATTGCTGATCACGTGACCATAGCCCGAGGCGGATTGGCGCGCAGACGACGCGACCGTGCGTGGGACGGGGAGTAGGAGGGGGGGGGGGGGGCACGGAAGACGGTCTGTGGGAGGGGGACGGACGGGACTGGGGGCGGGGTGACTATTGAGGCATCAGATTCGGAACGATGGCAGTAATCGACTTCGAGGCAGTGCCGATGACAATTTTGACGCCGATGGGATAGAAACGCATGACGTGGCTGATCTTGATCTGCCGCGATGTTGATCTGAGCTGTCCTTCAGCTTGATCTGAGGTGTCCCGAATCTGGACTGAATCTGGGCTGCGACGTATGGGGGGGGGGGGCGGGGGCGTCGTCCAATCGTACATTGTGTTCCGCGGAGGTCATACCTATGGTGTCACATATCGTCAGCAGTTTCAGGAGAAGTTACTATCGGCTTATGAGCCGCCCGATGATGTGCTCTGATTTGGAATTCGGCCGATCCTGATAAGTTATACTCGAGGGCCGCTGTGCAGTGTATTTTCGACATACTCCACAAATGTTCTTGGGTCATCGCATGACCTTGAGATGTTAAATTGCTAGTGGGAAATAAGATTAGGAACTGGCGAGTCGTTTGGTGTCGTTTTTATCGCTTTAGCTCTACTGGGTAGGCCACAATCCGCTGTGCAGATTTGGGCCACGTGACCTTTGCTGACCTCAGGTCAAACGGCTGTGTGACCGTGGGAAACACCGAATAGCTCGCTCGGGCTGCGTATTGTGTATGTCTCGGCCTCTGTTGTGCGCAAGTTTCAGCTTGATCTGACGTGTTCCGAATCTTGGGAGAATTTAGATCATAGGCGGCGGAACGGGGAGGGCACCGGGGCACCGTGCCCCCTTTGATTTGGGCATTTTAACATTAGCCCTATGGGCGTTGCATGGAAAGAATGGGACCAAAAGTCGTCAATGCCCCCCCCCCCCCCTAATTGAAAGTGTTCCGCCGCTACTGATCTAGATGCCAAAGTCTGGCTGACTTCTGACTTCAACTGGCTGCGGCTGCTCCCACCAACCGCAGACCATCTCCGCCAGGAGTCTCAAATATCGAGCACCGGAGCGTCTCGAACCCGGGCTCTCACTACCGGGAGTCCGATCCTCTATCAACTGAGTTGCGACTTGCGGGACAGGCATCAGGGCTGAATCCGGGCTTTACTGACATGTGACGTCCCTGTCTTTTGCAGCGTGATGCGGACGAAATGGGCTGCATCTTCATCGAGCAGCTGGACGGAGGATACCTGGTCTACCTCAGCAAGAAGAACGCTCACCTGGGCTGGTACCTGGGCTTCAAGCGGAACGGCCGGCCCAAGCTCGGACCCCACACGCGCTGGGGCCAGAAGGCGGTTCAGTTCCTGGCTAGGCGGGCCACACCGCCCTCCTGAGGCGGAATAGGCAGCCGAACGGTATCGAAGGGCAAGCACAGCCACGAAAAGAGATCAAGTGGGACCGCCTTTACCCTTCGCCAGGGCGGTGTTCAGGGATCAGGAACATCAGTGAGTGAGTGATGTCGGCCGATGCCTAGTGAAGTCATTGGGTGACTAGTGACGCCAGTTCAAAGTGACCAAAAACCTCACCCGTAGCGATGGTGTACTTTGGCGTTGGGTCGAGAGTGAGGATGCTGATAGTATCGTGCATATTGAATGTGCAGTGTTAACTGTGAAATGACGATTCACCCAGTAGCGATGTTGCCGTTGTTGCAAGATGAAGATGGCCCTCGGCAGCTACCCGATATTGGTGGAGCTCGTTGTGTCTACAAGCTGACCAATGAGTTTGCCGTCAAACCAATATCAAACTCTTACGCTGGTAATGGTTCGTGTGAGAGACGTGCCAGTACCTAAGCACATGCCTCTAAGTGCCTGCGCTACAGTAGCGCCGTCGGAGGGCTAGCGAGCATTGGCGAAAGCTGAGTTTTGCTAATGTCGCCGCCAGATGTCCGAAAAAAGCGGTGCAGGATGGTGTTCAGTTGGTGAACGCAGAGCGTTGCTTTTGTAACACTGCCAGTTCGCCATTAAGCAAGCGTTCCCGGCTGCTGTAACCGATATACCCTGGCTGTACCCTCAGCAAAGCATCAGCAACGCTGGAGTTGTCTTGTGGTATTGACAACGGCTGCCTCTCTGCCTGGTTTTTAATCGTATAGTTATGTATTTACTGTACGTACCTAATCTCCTAGTTAAATGTTTAAAAAGCAGCCGCGTGGTACGTTAAGTGGTAGGTTATGTTGCAAAGACACAAAGACAGCATTTCTAAAATTCAAGGTAGTCCTGGAGTAACCACGCGTTCAGTAGGTACGCAGGCGGTGGGTAATCTACATCCGTCTCTCAAGGCGCGTGCACAGCGCATGCTGGCCCCTGTGATTCATCTGACAGTGTTATCTCCATCATCTATCGTTACACTTCAAGTATTATCTAACTGCCGACCTAATACATATGCTCGATATTGTGTTATATGGACCAAACAATGCTAACCCGAGATGTTTACCTAGCGGCATGACTGGCGGGAAAAAATCGATGAGGATGAGCAAATGTATTGTTTCGTAGGCCCGGTAGAACAAAATACAGACAAGCTCTAGACACTGAGCTGAACGACATCAGATCTGACTAAGGTGAGGGCACTGGAACAGAAAAGGGTCGATAATGTACAACTGATCAAATTATCGCCCAACTGAGATGTGCACTGATATGAAAATTATGTGGCTTACTGACGCAAACGCTTGAAGCTTTTCACACGTGCTACGTCAGCTGCATTTTGTATGTGCATACCCTGGCAGCTCTTTGCTTTCACATTGCTTTGTCAAATCATCTAATACAATTTTGACGAAACATGTACTGCCTTTTTATATCGAAAACGCCAATTCCACAAAGACTCCCGAGACAAGACTATCGATTCAAACAAACAGTCACAAATAGCAATACTAACAAAACACAGCCCTGAATCCGCCTGTCGGGTCACAGGCAACCCGCCAGACCTCACATTTCAATGAAGAGGCCGTCCTGACCTGCCCCGACCGTCTGACAGGATGCTTCTGGAAAATGTCAACCAGTTACCCCGACATGTTTTCAATCATCGAACGACTCCGGACTGGCCGTCGCAGTGTGCTGTACGCTGTCGTCATCACGTCTTGACCTCGCCTTCTTCAAGGTGGCTTTCTTCTTCTTTTTGGGATAGCCGACGTCCTCTGCCACGGCCCCATGACTCGGCCGCACTTCCGTTAAGTACAGACCTGCTTCCTCGCGGTTCAGTACTACTTCGCAGCTCCGGACTAGTTCTTTCCAATACGGTACTGCTTCTTCCGAGCTTCCTTCTAGCTCTTCAGAGGCCATTTTTCCAACCACCCTTTTACTCTCCCTAGAGCGTCTAGCGCCAGGTGATCTTGGTTCAGAGCCTTGCCCCGCTCCCTCAAAGATTGGCTTTGCTTTATCAGAGCTCAAACCTACACTCTCATGAATCAGGCCACTTGCATCAGAGCTGCTTTTCCCCCTTTTTCTACTGGGATATCTGGCGTTACCAAGCCTTGCCTCAGAGCTTAGCACCGCCTCTTCTGAGCTTGGCCCCCCTTTCTCACAGCTCGATCCTCCTCTGTCGGAAGCGGTTTTCTTGGTCACCTCCTTCTTCTTCTTTTTCTTTGAAGGGCATCTGGCGCTATCCTGACCAGTGTCAGAGCCCAGCTCGACTGCCTCGGACCCCTGCCTTTGTTCTTCGCAACTCGGACCAGCTCCCTCTGAGTTTGGCTTTGCTCTCTTGGAGGTGCTTTTCTTCGTTCCTTTCTTCCTCTTTCTGGGGCGTTTGGGGTCACCTGGTCTCGACTCTGATGTCGGCGCTATCCCCTCTGAGTCAGGCTCAGCTTCTTTGGAGTCTGGCTCCGCTCCCTCAGAAGTGCGCTTCTTAGCCACCTTCCTCTTCCAGTGTTTGTAGTAGCCCTTGTTACGCTTCGCTCGAAACCTCAGAACCTTGGGATCCATACCCTCACGACGCGCGCGCGCATTGAACACGAGGAATTCCATGCCAACCACGGCTGCCTCGGCGCGAACTACGTCCCGTAGGAAGTGGAAGGGCACTACGTCGATGCTGGCGGCCAGCAGCTCCAGCAGGCAGCGGTAGTTGATCGGCAGCGCGCCCGCCTCCGTCATGTAGTCGGGCCGATAAGGAGGTACTCCCATCCACGCCTGCGGCAGTCGCCAGATCTCGTCGAACGGCCGGAACAGGCGCAGGTCGTCGAGCGGCGGCCGGCGCCACGGTGCTGGATGGCGTTCACGGATCCGCCGTTGCATGTCACCTGCTTCATCGGGGTCATCCACCAGCACTATGTCACGCGACCAGGCCCTGACGCCTTCTGTTTGACTGGGGCGTAAGATAGAAACCTCGGACGGAATGCGTTGTCGGGCGGCTGTGAGCGTCACCGCCACGGCAACGCCTTCGGCCTTGAGAGCACGCACGTGCGAATCGTCGAGAAGATAATCCACCCGTGACTGGCGAAATTCGTTGGCGCGGCGCAGCAGTTCACCTCCATGATGCTCGAGCCGCGAGGCGACCGGCCGCAGCAGATCATCGCTCTCGGACGGCGGCGGGGGCATTTGCGGGGTCAACACCCTGCCAAACAGCTTCATGAGCTGCAGCCGGTACTCGGCACTGTTGTAATTCTGGAAAGTGGAGACCTTCTCCAGTGCGCGGAAGGTGCCCTCGCGCCGAACATAGTCGAAGAGCAGTTGCCGGTGATGGTGCCGGCAGTAGTCCAGCCCAGGCATTGTCTCCAGCTCGCGGTCCGCCGTGTCCAGCTCCACATAGTCCTGTTCGCTTGCCTCTGCGCGCAGCTCGCGCATGAACGCCAGCCACTCTGTGAAGACGAACCAGCGCGGTCCGTCCACGATGGCGTCGTTGCGCGCCTTCGCTACCTCTGAGTTGCGCACCTCGGTCGCGTCATCCAAGCCCAGCAGCATTTTCAGCGTAATGAGCAGCATGGCCAGCGCAGACGCTTCGGGCATGTAGGTGTCGGGCGGCGAACCCAGGCGCGCCACGTTCGTCACAACATCGGCCAGCTGTGTCGGTAGCACCAGCTCGTCCAGAAGTCGCCGCAGCAGTCGGTGCAACGATGGCTGCGGCGGCGGAGGCAGGCCCAGCTTATTCACCATCGATGATAACTGCTCGCGTATTTTTGCCATATTCATCAACTTGCCAACTACGAATGTATTGCACCTATCAGTGCTCACATCCTCCGGCATCTCGTTCCTGGCGGTGAGTACCGGCAGCACGCCCTGGCGTGACCAACGAAACACGTCCGAGAGGCGACAGAGCGGCTCGCAGTCGACCAGCGCCAGCCACAGCAGCATCACCGCCGCGGTGACGCCGCGGAACATCCTAGTGTTGGCACGGCCAGAGCGCAGCACTACCTCCCAAAGCTGCGCAGTGGCCTCCGTGAGCTGAGCCGGCGCACCGCGTGCCACCAGCGCCGCCGACCAACGGTGCAGCAGGAGGTTGAGCACCTCTTTTGGAGTGATCTTGATCCGCGCTACCCGTTGCTTGGCCTTCCTCTCCTTCTGGCGCTGCCGCTTGGCCCGCGTCGCATCACTGATGACAAAGTTTCGAGAGGACATGCCTGTTTGCACGAAGTCATCATCTGTGGCCAGGTCTCTGATATCCTGTGACTGTGTGTGGCATTCATCACAGAAGTAGAAGCCATCATGAGCAGAGAACTGGTCCCCGCCACACACATCACACACAGTCATAGCTGCGACTCACGGCTGAGACTTCTAGGTGATATTCTGAGTGTTGTGCAAAGTTGTTCCAGTGACTACACCAAGGCAGAACCTGATGCTGAAAGATGATTGCTCATTTCTGACCCTGAAATAAAAAGGAAGAATGGCTTTAGGGCCTTCACCTAGCCTAGGATGGGCAGCACCTAGGTGGGGGTATATTGATATACATGAGTGACAGTAAGATGTTCAGCTAAACATAATAAAATAAATAATGGAGTAGCCGACACCTTAAGGTTGCCCTACCACATTCCGGGCCCTGTTCGTTCACTGCTGCCAACAGCTTCCCCAACCTCTCGCTCCTAGTAAGCCACTAGGTGGCTTACTGTGTTGAAGGGATATGGCCGTGCTGTTGACCAATGAGAGGCTGAGAAACGCAGGCAGGCTGCTGATTATTTGTCAAGATAAGGTCCGAACTACAATTGTGACGCTGTTGATACGAATGTGTAACAGCAAAAAAAAAAAATATGTTTTAGCGTGAATAAAGTATTCCTGGATAGGACACTCCCTATTCCCCAACACTAGCGCCGGCGACCAAGCAGCTGCCCTGGTGGCGGAGCGCAGAAACATTGGCAGATAGTGCACCGGCGGTGGCCGCCGCCATATGGGGCCATGCTGTAGACGCGGTATCACAGGGCAAAATGTTTTAGCTCGGAATTCTGATGACACGATTTTAAACACTTTCAACATATTTCTAGTCCTTTCTCAGTTTGTAACGTTCCGTTTAGTCACTAGCACACACGGAACCATTATCAGGAGCCCATAAACTGGACCGACATTCTTGACTGGTCAATGCAAATTGTTGTCAAATAGCATCGTTCCTCAGCAATCCCATAAGTCCTTGTTGATTAATTGTTGACAAAAGTATCCAAGAAGACACGCTCCACCCGTAGGACGCAATGCTAAAATGGCGCCGGTGCCCTATCTGTCGTTAAATTGGGTGGTCAGAAAATCGGCGGAGTGTCCAGCTATCCAGGAACACCCAATCCATGGTGTTAGGTTAGGTTAGTGATTGTTTTTCCCTTTTTTTGCGAGACATGTAAGTAGGGGAGACCCGGGAGGTATGGGCCGGTTTTTATGAAATTGCAATTTTCTTCCAGTGGGCAGTGGCTTGACCTGGTTTTTCACTCTGTGTACGTGAAATTGCCTTTCGCCTGTAAAGTGTGTCTGATATTAGGCATCTGGGATTATCAACTATTTTGTCTCGAGATAACTTTTCATAAATCATGCGCCTTTTAGATCCATCAAAATACCCAGGGAGGTATGGGCCATGGCCCGGGAGGTATGGGCCGGTGCTATCATATTCTATTCTCGACATTGAGCAAAATACTCATAGCTGGGATCTACCTTGAGCTCTCTAGGAGCCTAAGAGTAAGTACCGCATAAGCGGCCAACAACCCACTCCATGGAGGTCGCTTGGCCACATATTTATTTGGGTAAACTCAATCACGTTCCATGAAATAAGACAAATAATACTTTTTTCTGTTCGAATGCAATTGGTAGTTAAATTTTCGACCAATCGCGAAAAAAAGAAAACTTAATGAAGAGGACATTGAATGAAAGCATCATTTTATTGATTTAGGATCACCTGGGCGGGGGTGGGTGGCCAGCACTGGCGGATACAGGATTTCGGTGACCCCGAGGTCAATGAAAGCTGGGCTCCCTGAACAAATTTGACAGGGCTATCGAACGCCGTTTGAATTTCCCGGATCCGTCCAGTAGTTTCGGAGATACGGGGGGTGCAAAAAATGCCCCCCCCCCCCCCCCACTGCGCGGAAGGTGGTCGGGTCGGCCCACCGCCTGCCGGGTTAACGACGTTTGGCGACGTTCAACAAGGTTTTCCATACGTATCTCTACGCCGAAAGTTGAGGCCTCACCTGGGCGGCCGTTCCTCCCAGGGTATATTGAGGTTCCTCCGGACTCCGCTGAGTACTCAGGGCGGCTCGCCGGTTCGAGTTGGACGCAAGAGCCAAGTTGCTACGCGCCCTAACCCACAACAACAACTCGCCGGTTCGAGCACGTGACGACCGGGGCGGGGACGTCTTGTCCCGCAACCTCTCCAGAGCCGCCCGTGGGGCGAATTGGAATCTGCTGCTATTGACCAGCGTACCGCATAAATTCGGTGACCGTCTTTCGCCAAAAAATTATGCGACCACCCTGCGCCGAAAAATTCGTCCGCCGCCATGCGCTGAATTCGCCGCATGTGAAGTTACGCCGGACGTGCGCTGAAATTTTCGGCACAATCCCGCCAGTACACGCAGGACATATTCGGCATAACGGCTATTTTTTCCAGTCTGGCATGACGATACATTTGAAGTCAAAAGTGCTCCCAAATGAATAAAAAAATTGATTCCATGCCCATATTTTGTCATGGCTCCTCCCATCAGAATCAAATTATTGTTGCCTCCGTATTTTGATTCCAGAAGTTAAGTTTGCCCAACCTGATACGGCCATACCTGCCAGGTCTCCCCTATCATTCTTGGATTCACGATGTAAAATAATGTAAGAATATGACAAAAATATCCTTGAAATCTTCTTAGGACCTTATCTTGACATTTCCCAGCTTTTTGATAGGGGCCCTGTTCAAGTGTCCGCGGCCGCCGCGGCTCCCGCGGCCAAAAAGGCGGAGCTTAGCTGGCGGCCAATCAGGCGAGAGCAGCATTCTGGGTAATGCGTAGCTCTTCCTGCGGCTCCCGCGGTCGCTCGGGAGCGACCGCAAGGAAACTTCGACATAAACTGCGCGCGTGAGACAAAACACTGCGGATTTCGCTCTTTGTTTCGGTAGATTTTATTATGTTGTTAAGGTATAATTGCTTCAAAAAGGTACTAGTTGAAGTAACAAAGCCATTGTAAAGCAATAACCCACGAAATTTTGATCAGCATCTCCTTTCAAAACAACCGTGCCATTCTCGTCGCCGGCGGCAGCGGCCGCAGCCGCAAGGGTGTTCAACCTAACCGAAATTAGGCTCCGCCTCCCGGCCGCGGGAGCCGCGGCGGCCGCAGAGCACTTGAACAGGGCCAGGTATACCAAATACTCTTAATTACCTACGCTCGCATAAATATTCATTAAAACGCATTGATGCTTACCTTTTACAGGGGCTTCAGGGCTTAAGTTCTTTAGGTAAATATGCACGAATGAATCCCAAACTATGCGATCCGCGCGTGGTGGCCGGCAACGGCAACCAAGGTGACAACCGACAAATGACACGTGCACGTGCAAGACACGTGTTTCTATAGGCATGCAAATAAAAATGCACAAATACACCCGTGTTTATAATCTGCCGCAGGCCTATTAGTGAGCTGATGAGCTCAAGGTGATAAATATCGGTGACCTCTCGAATTACGAAAATTTTATTATGTCATCGAATTTTATTGATATAAATTGCTGATATGCACCTTTGTTTTTGTGCCTAAAATTTTTATTGCCTTTTTCTACTTCGATGTATAAAATAAAAAGAATAATAGATTCAAAAAGAGCATTTAAATACCTATTATTCTAATATGATGTCATTTACAGCAAGAACGAACTGCGTTGATTTCCGTTTCCGACAGCAGATGCTATATTCCGAGCTGAGCTTTTCGAACACGATCGCTTATTTATTGCCGCGAAATTTTGAAGCAAAAGCGCCAATCGGTAGAGATAATTGCATTATAGAGCAGTGCTGCCAGATTTGGAGGATTTCCGCAAATCTGGAGGATTTTGAACTCTATTTGCGGACAAATTTTGCTTTTGGAGGATTTTTGATTCTGGAGGAAAATCTGGAGGATTTGTCGTACGATTAGTATATTCAATTTCATGGAAAAATATAACACATTCAAGACTAAAAAGGCATTTTCCTGCCCAGCGTCACCCTACCCGTTATGATATATTACGTCCTTTATCACCGTGAGACTGCAAAATGTCTCAGTCTTTAGCTATATCTACGAGGGTACCAAACTACTGGCGGATCTAAGGGGGACATTTGGGGAATGGGGCAAATGCCCCCGGCCCTCTGCAGCGCCTGAAGTCGACGAAAATTTTCGTTTTTTTTTTTGGAGGATAAAACGAAAACTAAACAACTTTTATTAGAAAAAGTATCTTTTAAACTGCACAGCAGTGCGAAAGGATTCGAAATCCGATGAGTTTTTAGAATTTGGGGAAACTTTTTTTGGGGGTATAGCCCCCCGCAGCGTCCAAGACCGCCTTTCTATATCTACCAATAGGATTTGGAGGAATCTGGAGGATTTTTGTAACTGATCTGGAGGATTACAGCCTTCCCCATCTGGCAGCACTGTTATAGAGTTCAGTCACTGAGTTCTCTATATACCGTGAGTCACTGGATGTATACGGCCTTGAGTGGATTGTATATTTGCAGGGTATATTGATTGGTTGGACGCAAGAGCTAAGCTGCTACGCGCCCTAACCCAAAACAATAGGTTATATTGAAATAGGGTTAAAATATCAATATCTTTGAGTCTGACGGGAAATCAGACAGGAAATCGAAGGGGTCAGGGTGGTAAGCGGCAATTATTCATTGTAAATGAGTTGTGGATGTCCTGCTGAATATTTCACTTTACATTATCGGTTTTTGCGCAATAAAAAGTGGAATCAGAATGCAGGCACTCAACGCGAGAAAGTCTTTTCTGTTGTCTCTTGACATCAACCCGCACCAGGCCAGTGCTCCGTGACTTCTGTGCCGGGCTGGGCGACCCTGACCCACTCCTTCGTAGTCTGTTTAATTCAGCTCCTGGGCCATGTAGCGACCCGCGGTAAGCAGCATTCAAAATAGGTTAAAAAATTGACAGAAACACTTCAGTAATTTTTTGGGTCAGGTCAAAGGTCAGGTCGCCAGACGGCCAGAGGTTCAGTTCAGTTCAGTTAAGTTGATTTTATTGAGTGATAAAAACAAAACAAAGTTCAATGGTGGATCGGCACAAAAGATAAACCTAAATTAAAGCGCCTCTCCAAAATCAAAACAAAACTGACAATATTGGCACCGATATCAAAATACCAAGATATACATTTTGTACATGCTTCTACTCTTATCATTCGCTGAAAGTTTCAAGGCGATTGTTCAGTCGGTGTCGCTATGATGAGGATTTAATTTTTTCTGAGGTGAGGTCACTTGACGTGACCTGGTGACCTGATCTTGAGAGCCCTGGGTCTGAAATTTTTCACAACATGTGCGGAAAAGATGCATGAACAGGTGTGCCAAAAACGGCGCCGCGGAGCGCCGCCGTTTTTGAGATATCTGTGAAAACCGCAGATCACCCCTCCCCCGGCCCGGCGCGGGTTAACGTGAGCAATATTTGTATTTTTGGTTGTTTCACTACCTATTAAACAAGAGGAGCGCTCTGGTCTAGGGGTATATTCCTTACCTTTAGATTCAGCCATCCTGGTTTAATTCCTGCCCCGGGCAATGCACATGGCATTGCCGCTTGGAACAGCATGAGAGATCCAGCTAGCACTTTGTCGACTGGGTACAGGGTATGGTGCTAAGTCCAAACAAACCCACACCAACCAACCAACCAACCAATTAACCAACCAACCAACCAACCAACCAACCAGCCAACCAACAATAAAACATTCCATGATTCTGGATTCCAGGACAAATCTGTTATATCTTCCTTTTTCTACAGGGTGCTGGCCAGTTGCCTAACTATTTGTCAATATCAATGCAAGCTAGGTACCTGCATATGCATCACTGTCTGATATTGATAATTAATTCAAGTTCAAGCTGAAACCGTGATGGAACTGACAGAGGGTGCTATCAGGCTCCTTGACAGCCAGGACTGGTTTGACCAGCTGCGAGACACAGTCTCCGAACTAGCCTGGGAGGGTGCTGATCTGCCACAAAGTGGACTCATTCTTCCTGTCACAGTTTGTGCAGACATCACGCACATCCTCGACTACTGCTGTAAGTAAAAACCAGTAAAACGCCTTTTGGGCGAAGAACGAGCGAGCGAGAATGAGATAGTGAGCCCTGCACGTGCGCAAAAGCACCCTTCTAACCGGTCGCTAGCGGTGTGCCAAATTTGAACGCAATCGGCCCAGCCGTTCCTGAGATCTGGAAAAGGCATTCTGCACGTGCGCACGTGCAAGCGAGGTCCAAACTGACTTTTGCACGGCACCCTGTTGTGCCGCTTCATAAGGCTGGTTCCCGTGACAGCGCTGTTAATTTTAGACATATATCAATTTTACCAGTGTTATCGAAAGTATGTGAAAAGGTGGTTTGCAATCAGCTCGCTTCTTATCTTGATACGACCTCTATTTTATCACCATCTCAGTATGCGCACCGCCGATATCACTCAACGGAGGATGCTCTCACCCACAGTGTATCTCTCACCGACGCTGTCGAGTGGGTGACGCGCCGCGTCGACAGGGGTCACATTGTTGCCATCACGTCAGTGGACCTCAGTCGCGCCTTTGATAGTGTTGACCATGGTTACGAGTGAGCGAGCGCAGCGGGCGAGCGAGTTCATACTGAATTAAGGGAAAATCCTGAGTATGAGCGGCCGGCCGGCCGTGGGGACGCTGTTCAAAAGCTAATATCTTAGGAACGGGATATCCGATTGACAAGCGGTCTTCTTTACTGAATGTCACTTGGACGTAAAAGTTCTGTGGTGTGATGGCCACCATGCGTTCTTGCCAACCACCGCACGTGGCGCGTGGTTAAGTTGGACATTTTTTAAGAACCCTCAAAATTGCAACCTCAATAGCGGCACAACGGTTGGGCCGATTGAATTGGAACTCGGTACACAGTTAGGTCTCCATCAGATAATTCATCTGCATGTGTTAAGGTTGGGGTGCTACAGCACGTGCGCACGTGCAGGGGGCGCTCCCAGATCTCGAGAACGGCTGGGCCGATTGCGCTCAAATTTGGTACACGGCTGGGGACCAGTTAGTAGGGTGCCGTGCAAAAGTCAGTTTGGACCCCGCTTGCACGTGCGCACGTGCAGAATGCCGCTTCCAGATCTCAGGACCGGCTGGGCCGATTGCGTTCAAATTTGGCACACCGCTAGCGACCGGTTAGAAGGGTGCTTTGCACAAGCCCGTTGGAAATACCTTCTCGCCCTTACGCACGTGCAGGGCTCACTATCTCGCTCGCTCGTTCTTCGCTCAAAAGGCGTTTTACTGGTATTTTATTGTCCAAGTTGAGCTGGTACGGTGTTGACCCCGGGTGGTTCGCGAGTTACCTCGGTGGCCGGCGGCAGGTGGTGAGAGGCAGCTCCCTATCCCTTCCTATGTCCCATGGCGTTCCGCAGGGCTCCCTGGTCGGCCCAATCCTCTTTAGCATCTTCACAAATGACCTACTTTCCTCATGGACGGCTCATTTCCTATGCAGACGATACCCAACTCCTCGATTCCGCTCTTCCCACTGACTTACCTGTCCTTAAAAAACAACAGGAAGACACCTTGCTCGCTGTCCAGTCCTATTACAAATCCAATTCCTTGAAAATGAATCCTAGTAAGACCACCCTGCTTCTTGTGGGTACTGGCCAGAACCTCAAGAAAACCTCATCCTTTTCCCTTACCATATCCGGTCGCGGACGCGGTCACACACTACAACCATCCCCTTTTGTGAAGATGCTGGGAGTGACGGTCGACTCAACCCTATCCTGGGAAAAGCACATTTCAAATGTTGTCAAAAAGTGCAATTCCATCCTTCTATGTTTGTATAAAATTCGTCATCATCTTACCCCCGAGACCCGTAAGCTCCTTATCCAGTGCCATGTTTTCCCCCACATCCTTTATTGCCTCTCCGTCTGGGGCGGGGCCGCTCGCTGTCATTTACATAAGGTGCAGAAGATCCTGAATTTTGGTGCTAGGGTCGTCTCCGGGGCGCGGGTTTCTGAACATATTTCACCGGTGTTGAGAGCCCTCGGCTGGCATGACATTGCTGATCTTGTCGTCCACCATGACTGCTCCACTGTGTTCATTGCGCTCCGGAGGCGATCCGCTCCCTATTCACTCGGCGAGCCGCTGTGTCGCAGCGCTCAACGCGGGCAACGTGTGCCGGTGTACTGGAGCTGCCGGCTTACCGGCTGTCTATGTCGCGCCGGGCCTTGTCGTACCGAGCGGCCTCGTCCTGGAATCGCCTGCCGCCTGCCACCACCGGCTCTCGAACTAGAGCGGAGTTTCTACGACTTTTAAACTCGACATGTGACTAGCGTTTTGGTATTTTAGTACAATGTGTATGCGTGTGTGTGCTTGTATTTTATGTTTTTACTATTGTCATTGACTAGAAGCTGACACTAATCCATCATTGGAATGCTTCGCTAATTACGGAGCGAGCGAAGCGAGCGAAGTCTTTCCTTAGATTAACGGAAATTTCTGAGTATGAGCGGCCGGCCGGCCGTGCGGACGCTTTTGCGAGGCTTATATCTCAGCAACCACTTGACCGATTTACATGCGGTAAATTTTGTAGGGTAGCTTCATTCCTTCTACCAACTATTGGACTATTCCTGATGCATGTGGGTGACCGCTTATGCACGTGCCACGTGCAAAACGAAGAGGTGTCAGTTTTGTAATTGTTGCAATATCTCGGTAACTACTAACTACTTGGCCGATTGCGCTGAAAGTTGGCATGTAGGTAGGCACCCACTAGGCACTGCATATCCATGTGCCAGAGTTGGGGTGCTGCTGCACGTGCGCACGTGCAGGGGTCGTTTCTAGATCTCGAGAACGGCTCGACCGATTGCGCTCAAATTTGGTACACAGTTAGGGACCGGTAAGTAGAGTGCCGTGCACAAGTCAGTTGGGACCCATTTTGCACGTGCGCACGTGCAGGGTGCCGCTTCCAGATCTCGAGAACGGCTGGGCCGATTGTGCCGAAATTTGGCACATCGCTAGAGACCGGTTAGTAGGGTGCCGTGCACAAGTCAGTTGGAGGTACATACCCCCTCGCAATTTCGCACGTGCAAGGCCCACCCTCTCGCTCGCTCCGTTAGTCGCCCCGAAAGGCGTTATACTGGTACAATATACATACATACCCTACTAACTGGTCCCCAACCGTGTACCAAATTTGAGCGCAATCGGCCCAGCCGTACTCGAGATCTGGAAACGGCCCCTGCACGTGCAGTAGCACCCCAACCTTAACACATGCAGATGAATTATCTGATGGAGACCTGACTGTGTACCGAGTTTCAATTCAATCGGCCCAACCGTTGTGCCGTGCCCGTTATTGAGGTTGCACTTTTGGGGGTTGTTAAAAAATGTCCAACTTTACCACGCGCCACGTGTGGTGGTTGGCAAGAACGCATGGTTGCCATCACACCACAGAACTTTTACGTCCAAGTGACATTCAGTAAAGAAGACCGCTTGTCAATCGGATGTCCCGTTCCTAAGATATTAGCTTTTGAAGAGCGTCCCCACGGCCGGCCGGCCGGCCGCTCATACTCAGGATTTTCCCTTAATTCAGTATGAACTCGCTCGCTCGCTGCGCTCGCTCGCTCGTAAAAAGGAATCTTGATCCATTTCAACAGCAGAGTAAGATGTTGATATACAAAGTTACAAAAACCTAAGGTCAGGTGATATGATTGAAGCCAAGTGATGAAGAGATGATGAGAGATCTGCAAGTTTAAGATGATCAAACTTTAAGATTGAAAACACTGGTTTTGTTTTGGCCATAATTTGTTTGACTAGTTGACCTACTTCTTTGCCATAGGTGTCTTAATCTCAATCAGCAAATGCCATGTTTTAACTTGAAGGGTAGTTACCTGGCATAATTGTTAACATCAGTTGGTTTGACAGATGATCTGGCTGAACTGATTGTGAGGCAGCCTCGCCAGGCAGTGAGCATTTTCCAGCGGCTGACCTGTCAGTCAGTGGCTGCTCTGGAGCTCCTGCCCGGGGTCACGCTGAAACCAGAACAGGTTAGTGATTTGGGCGGCTGTGGCCATGCTGACCTTGTACCATATCCTCCGATGTTCGACCAGGTGTCGTATATTCTTGTTTATGCTCTTCTGTTACTCTATGAGACATATATGGCCATTGTGACATGAAGCCCAGCGACCTGATCCATACTTTCACCCTCATTAGGTGCTGGTGACCCTTCGTCCATATAATCTGGTCTGCTCCGCCACCTCAGTGACAGAGGTCACTGGTCACATGATCGCCGTCAGCGGCATCCTTCTATCACGCACCCTGCCAGAGAAGTTTGTGTGAGTAGGTCCACTTCAGATCTTACATCCGACCATTTTTCCCATTCATTTTCTGCTCAGAGCTACGTTGCTCTGGCCTTATGTGATTAAAGTAGAATGATTAGATTTTATCAGATCGATCAGATCAGATCAGATCAGAATCAGATTACCTACCATCAATCGTCAGATTTGTCATTTGTTAACTCGTCGTAGAACTCCGATAAACCTAAGTACTTACTTAGACCGGGCGGACATTCGTTGATCACCGTCGTCCCCCGTTTGTCGGCAGGGAATGTATGCGGCACGTGTGTGAGAACTCGTACTGCGCGGAGGAGCTCATCAGCGTGTTCGTGCCGGGCCGACCCCCGCCGGGCACCTTCACTGACTGCACCAACTGTGGCGCTAATCTGAGGTCAGTTGTGCCCGAACGGCGAACTCGGTGAGAAGGAGCATCTTGTCGCAAACGACCTAGTAGTTGATGGAAACCTCAAAGTTGAGGTGCACCCACGATAAACTAACAGGAATTTTACGTCCAGGATACGGAGGTACTGCTCTAAGCGACGACGAAGCTCACTGGTAATGACTAGGTGTAGGACTGAAACATGCCCGTTTGTGGATCTTAGTGATTGATTGCGGCAAGGAATCAATTGTCAGTGGAGGCTATGACAGCATTTTCCGACCATTTTCGGATTTAGCCGACATCGACATTAAATTCGTTAACTCCATGCAATGACGAGCAACCTCTTTCCATCCATCGCAGGGGGCAGTTAAACAGCATAATAAAAATCAATGAGCTATCCGGATTACTAGCTGTTATGTTATATAAACTATTACACCGTGCGATGACGTGTTTATGTTGGTGCTCGCAGAGAGGACGTGGGCTGCCGTCGGCTCTCGGAGGCGACTGAGGGATTTCTGGTGCCGCTGGAGGCGCTGGAGGCCCCCCTGAAGCCGTGCAAAGGGCGCTTTCAGTCGGTCCGCGTCGTCTTCCGAGGCGAGTCGCTGTTGCTGGAGGTCTAACCGTCGTCCCGTAATAAATCGTCGCCCCCGTAATGTTGGCCTTTACCCCACTAATCGAAGATCCTAGTGTTCAGACTTTCAGATTGCCTCTTTTCTGACCTCAGGTCACTACTCTGACCCCAGGTGACCTGTGCTGTGACCTCGGTCATTACTCTAACCAAAGGTCACTGCCTCTGACCCTAGGTCACTGTCTCTGACCTCAGGTAACCGGTGACCTGTACTACTCTGACCTCAGGTCCCTGCTCCGACCCCAGGTGAGCTGTGCCGTGACCTGCACCTGGGCGGCCGGTACCGTGTCGTCGGTCAGCTGGTGAAGGTCTCGGAGGGCTCCAGCTGCCGCCTCACCCTGGAAGCTGCCAGCGTGCGGCCCATCCCGCTCTCCATCTACGCGCAGCCGCTGGTCTGCGCCATATCGCCCGTGAGTGATGTACCCGCTGCTTCACTGTTGTCACTGATGTCTCCCGTGTTCAGCCGATAAACAACCTATTAACCGTGCAGCCCATAAACCGCCCCCTCTCGCTCCCCAGGTGATCGAGACGCTGTACCACGACCGTCGCTTCTCGCCGTGGAGTTTTGCGCTGAGCCTCGCGTACGTGTTCGCGAGCGGTCTGTCGCCGGCCGGCACCTACTTCCGACTCAAACTGGGCATGCTGCTGAGTCTGGTGGCCTGTGGCGCCATACGGGTAGGTGGGCTGACCTATACGGGTAGGTGGGTTGACCTATACGGGTAGGCGGGAGGAGCCTATACGGGTAGGCGGGCTTACCTATACGGGTAGGTGGGAGGAGCCTATACGGGTAGGCGGGTTTACCTATACGGGTAGGCGGGAGGAGCCTATACGGGTAGGCGGGAGGAGCCTATGCGGGTAGGCGGGAGGAGCCTATACGGGTAGGCGGGTGATTAGACGGGTAGATGGGCAGCGGGGGAATAAACGATAGGGTGGAGCGACTTGAGAGCACAGCTTGGGCTTGGAGTAATGATAGTTGGCTCGTGACCTCACGTTATGACTAAATCGGCATAGCGCTACTTTCTCGGTTGTATTTATTTTTATTTTAATGAATTACGGAGACTGACTGATGGTGGATTTCTTCCTTTTGACAGGGTTCGCCAGTGTGTCAGTGAACTTGATCTACATTCATCGATTCCAGCCTCCGACACATTCAATTTTACCTTCGTCGCCCCAGTGCATCAATCGCTCTTCTGCCCAGGAAAGCAGTAACGCACGGAAAAATACACCATGTCCCGCCACCAAACTGCCCACTCCCTCTCTCTGTCCCTCTCCCTCCCTCCTCACCCCTCCTCTCTCCCTCCCGCACCGCAGCACAGTCGCCTGCAGCCGCTGCTGGCGGTCGGGCCGGACGTGGGCTCCCTGGTGCGACTCCTGAGCCACGGCGCCGGTCTGGCTCGCCGCTGCGTTCGACACACCTGCCCCGGACCGCTGGCGGGCCGGGCCGCGCGGCCGGCAGTCGGCGGGGCGGCCCGAGCTGAACTGGAGGCTGGCTCACTGCTGCTGGCGAGGGGAGGAGTCTGCCTGCTGGGGGATCTGAGCAAGTACCGCAGGGAGGCGCTGCACACACTCCAGAAAGGTGAGAGGGGTGGTCGAAAACTGAGACTAGGGGTGGGGTCGTTAGTGATGGGCGAGGAGGAGCTGGGTAGATAGAATGGGAGCCCTGTCACTGAACAGGTTCACAGCTATCGTGTTTGAGTTGTGGGAGAGTGATGAGGCAGTTAACCTCTTGAAGCTGCCTGTAATGGAAAGTCAGGGCATTTATGATATGTGCTCCACGTTTACAACATCTTCTGTAACTCTGCCTTGCTTCTTTTGATGCAGGTCTTCGCCGATCGTCAGACATTGCATTGGTTGGTCTCGGAGTTGAATTCATGTCCATGTTCCAGGTCTGGAGGTGGGCTCAGTCAGCGTGGTCTGTCCCCAGGTCTGGAGGACCGGACTCAGTCAGCGTGGTCTGTCCCTGTCCCCAGGTCTGGAGGTGGGCTCAGTCAGCGTGGTCTGTCCCCAGGTCTGGAGGTGGGTCTGTCAGCGTGGTCTGTCCCTGTCCCCAGGTCTGGAGGTGGGTTCGGTCAGCGTGGTCTGCCCGGCCTCCCTGTCGGGTACCGGGCGGCCCGAGTCTGTGTCGATGCCGCTGCTCTGCCAGCCCTGGGCCGTGTACGACTGTAAGCCGACCGGCGGCACGGACCTGAACTCCAGCCTGGTTAGCGACTCGGCCAGTCTGGTGGGCACGCAGACCAACGCCCTGCCGCGCACACTCACAGAGTGAGTACCTATGAATCCCCACACCCTCACGGCTCACACTGTACTTAGTACTTGCTGGGTCACAAACGGACGCACTGCCGCGCACCCTCACAGAGTGAGTACCAGTGGCATATCGCGCCTGGGAGATATTTTGTTATCGTTAGCAAAAAAGGTTAAATATGGCGCCGTGGGTGACCCGTCTATGAGTGAGTCCTTACAGGGTGTTTTGTTGTGATGTGTGGAGTTTGATCTAATGCACCTCCCGTTCTCAACTCTCTGGTATGGTGCTGTGACGTCCTATTTGATTACATCCATCTTCCTTCCCCGCAGGGCGTTCGGCGTGGTCTACTACACCGAGTCAGCCGACGACTGTGATGACCTGGCCTGTGACCTGGCCACCTGCCAGCTGCTGATGGCGGCCGGCGGCGGGCGGGTCGACCAGCAGCTGGTGCCGGACAAAGACCTGACGGCGGTGGGTGAGAGGCGGATGGGGTAGGGTCTGTATGGCCGCCGGCGGCGGGCGGGTCGACCAGCAACTCGTACCGGACAAAGACCTGATGACGGTCGTGAGCGGATAGGGTAGATCGAGACATCGTGATTGGGTGGAGGTTAAAGGCAGGTGTCTTTTCTAAGTGAATGGATGAGCTGAGGATCGAGTGATGGCAGTTGAGAAGCAGGTTATTTTGTGTGAGTGGAAGGGATAGACCAAGACCCGATGTCAGTCATGTGGGTAGGGGAGCAGGATGTCTGGTATTGAGAGGTAGACTAGGAGCGTGCAATGAAAGCGGACTGTGTTGTCAGAGCTGGAACCAGACCGCAGATGAGTCATCCAGCATTTGTAGCGCAGCCTTTGTCCATCCTCCCCTGACCTCTCTCTCCTGCTGTGCACTCTGTCAGTTTCTGGCGGCGGCGTGCGAGCTCTCTCTGGACCTGGAGCCGGACGCCGAGCGGTTAGTGCGCCGCTACTTCGTGGCCAGTCGGCGGGTGCGCACCTCCAACGTGCCAGACGTGCCCGTGGCCGCCGTCAGCACCATGTGAGTTACTGGGGTGGAGGGTGTGCACCTCCAACGTGCCAGACGTGCCTGTGGCCGCCGTCAGCACCATGTGAGTTACTGGGGAGAAGGGTGCGCACCTCCAACGTGCCAGACGTGCCCGTGGCCGCCGTCAGCACCATGTGAGTGACGGGACTCCGTAGGGGGTGGGCGCAGGTCGAGTTGGTTGTCACTGTCTGCCGTTGATCGTCACTCTGCTGGTATCGACTTTATTGTGTTTAGTAAGCAGTTAAAACATTGGAGAATGCGAGCATATGATAGGGACCGCTGCCTATCCTGTGCATTCATCCCGTTCCCTACTCATCCTGATTCGATACTTGGTGTCTGGACCTCAACTCTAGCCCCACTTCTTCTGTTTCTTCACCCTCCTCAGTGCGATAAAAACCAGACCAAAGAGACCTCCCAGTTTGGCTATCTCTAACCAACGACCTCTCCCCGCTGCGAGCCTGGTCGATAGAGTCAGACCGCGACTGATCCCTGACCTCCCCTCCTCCGCAGCTCCGGGCTGGCCCACGCGTTCGCCCAGCTGTCTCTGCGCGACTGTGTCACCGTGGATGACGTCACCATGGCCATTCTGCTGTATGAGGAGTCGCTGGCGGCGTGTTTCGGCTACTCGCCGCTAGATGTCTCTCATACGCCGCACATCAGGGAGGCCGACCTGGACGCCAACCTGGGCAGACAGGTGAGGGGCCGATTGGACGTGGCTGCTGATTAATTATGGCTGTGATTGTTTCCGGAATGTCTCATATGTAATGGTATCTTATGTTTTTTTTTTTCAGGAGCTATCGAATTGCGTAGATTATGATGAATCACTCGAGCGCATTGCAATTGTATTATGCGGTCGTTTATTGGTTTTACATTTTTGTTACATATATATTGACATTAAAACAGCAGCAGGTTGATTGTATCATCTGTCTGTATTTGAGCGCGGGAAGTGCTACTTAAGAGTGTACTCCCCTTATGCTACTTTTTCTGTTTCAACATTTTTGAAGACGTTTTCCTCGTTTCAGAATGACGAGAGGATGCGCGACTTCCAGCGTCGACTGGAAGAGTTTATCAGCGAGTGGGCGCTGCTCTGAGGGACGCACGGTGAGAGGTGAGCGGCCGGGCGACCCGGGCGAGAGCTGGGGGCGGCCATGATCTGAGGGGCGCCTGGTGAGGCGAGCGGCCTGGGTGAGAGGCGAGGGGTCGTGCAGAGGGGTGAGCCTCGGCCCTGCTCTGGATGTTACCGGCTCAGGGTCCTGGCTGAGACAGGCTAGCTGCCGGACCGACTGTGTACGGCATCTCAATTATGGCAGGGCCCTGTACGAGAAGCGGCGATTGATAAGTATAGTGTATCACTTGTGACTTGATTATGTCGGTCTGTGTTCCATGTGGTCTGGACGTCGATTTCGCTGTTACGTTTGAAGATATTTATTATGGCGTGTTAGTCTGTTCCTCGCTGTTATGTGGAAGAGTTATGTTAGCACTCAGTCATTAATCATGTTATGTACAATTTCTGCTCTAGTCTGTTAAACATTTTACCAGTGAATTGTTGTTGAATCATGATATGACGCTACAAATGCGAACAAGTTCCCAATTATCATCTTGCTTGAATTTTTACGACTTTGTCGGCTGTGCTGACAAACGATATCGTTGTCTGTTGTCTCCAATTGTTTGTTGAATCATTTCCAGTTGTCTTATTTACTGTGGTATTGTCTCTTGGTTTGAATTTGACCTACTCATGTGAGATAATTACTTTTTTACACATCCTGAATCTGAGACAAGTGTTCGTCGGTGAATGTTTGAAGTTTAAATAGCTTCTTCGTTTTTAAGAGTTTCAGACTTTTTCATACTGGCGTGTCGCGCTCTCATAAAATGCGTGTCGACATCACATAAAATGACGCTTCTAAAAAGAACTCTGCACAACCCCGAGAACCACACCACCCATCTGCCAACCCGGGTTATGCAGTCGACAGTACGTCGTATATTCATGTTTATACAAACACGTCATAGCTCGTCTCGAAGGGCCGGCCGGGATGCTCACTGTCAACAGGCGACTCCCGGCGACAAGCAGCGAAAGGAACAGGTAGCCACTGCGGGCCGCCTCTATGGGGCCGGGACACAGACGGGCCGCGAATCACAGGTGACGCCGGGGCGTCGGCACCGGGACCGGCTCGAGCGCCGGTAACGGTATTGGTGGCGGGGTCTAGTGGAGACCGAGGCAGGCGGGTAACATTGATAGGGCCCGGATCGCGCCAGACTAGCCGCCACGGTGAATCACTGGAATCGAATCACAACATAGCTGCGTGCGACTGAATAGTTTCGGATCCATGATCAAAGCGATCGGATGAATTAGGGAACAGCGGAGTGGTAGTTTCTTGTATACGCCCAGTCTCACGCGGTATTTCATGTACAGGTATCGCCTTACATCCCTGCCACAGCCGCCACCGTCCTGTGACTGAACACAGGTTAAATAACACGCCGCTGCCCGCCGCGCCCTCTGACGGAGACCTCAGCTCCGCTCTCTGACGGAGCTGTGCTCCGCTCTCTGACGGAGCTCTCAGCTCCGCTCTCACCGTAAATGCCCTCCGGCGCAGCATAGGTGGCGACCCTGAGCTAAAACCACTCGCAACAACAATAGCCTCTGGCCCGGGCTCACACCTCGCCGCGCACCCTTTGTACGTCTCACTGACGTCACGCAATCAGCGACCAATCACACAACAGAGAGCTGCGCGCCGGGGGCGGGGCACAGCGACTAGAACACTTTGAACGGCAGTAGACAGGCGTGCCGGGTCGGTGATATGACCGGGCGGCGGCACCGCCCGTCGCGCGCCGCTAAACAGAACACCGATTGGCCGCGCGGCGAAACGACTAGTGAACATCGCAGATTATGTTGGGAGTCCCGGCGCCGGTCGGCGCGGCGGGTACCACTTGATCTATTCCCGGATCGCATTGACTAGCACGAACTGTGGCGCGTCACTGCCGGCTGGGGGACCGCGGCCGCCGCCTACGTCCTAGAGGGGGCGTCGTGTGCCACGTCCACCGCACTGGGCGTCGCCGCGCCCTCCCCTCGCGCACTGGCGTCCCTCGCGGGCGCAGAGTCACTGAGCTGGCCGGCGGTGGCCGGTGGCTCGATAGTGGTGCTGCCTGGCGTGGTGCCTGGCGGCGTGGTGCCGTCTGGGGGCACGGTGCCACTCTCTGGCGGCACGGCGCCGCTCTCTGACGGCACGGTGCCGCTCTCTGGCGGCGTGGTGCCGTCTGGCGGCACGGTGCCGCTCTCTGGCGGCACAGCGCCACTCTCTGACGGCGTGGTGTCGCTCTCGGGCGGCGTGGTGCCGCTCTCTGGCGGTGCTCTGATGGTGCTGCCCTCTGCGGTGACTGTCGCCGGGGCGCGCTGCCGCGGCCGCTGGAGGCCGGCGGGCGGCTCCGTGATGTGCGTTCCGCCGGCGACTCGCCACTCTCCTCCAAACACGTGGAGACGAGCAGTCGCTGGGCCAGAAGCACAGACACGGTGGCCAGGGTAGCCGCACCAAAGCTGGCCGTCCTGTCGCGAACACAAAAGGTCGTAAGATGACAGCAAACATCGGTAGCAGTTGTAATCTACAAACTAGGATTTCGTCATTCAGGAACTACTGAGTACAAAACAATTATCAAAAAAATACAGTGGGCCGTTCTATCATTCTACAAAAAGGGTACATTAAACGTTATGTACAAATTCAAGATGCTGAGATATGGCTAGAAAATACGCGAGAAAGATTATTTAGACCATAACATATATATATCGGGCGAAGAATCAGTTACCGATGCGATTTATATCCCGGAAATTCGTTGAACCCCTGCTTAGTGCGAATACACGTGCAGACATTTGGCACGAGGTAGTGACAAGCGTGAAATCAGGCAGCAGAGAAGTGAGTAGGTGAGAAATTACCGAGGCACACACGCGGAATTTTTGCTCACCAACTTCTCACAAAACGGCACCTGCAATCAGAAAAGCGTTAGTAAATCCGCTAAGGAGTTAGCTCCCGAGCTTGCCGCCGCTCTCACACATACAAACACGAGCCGGCAAAACGATGTAAGATTATTGCCGTGGCGTTAGTTGTTAATAAGGGTCGTTAGATTCGAATACGCCACCGGTTACTAGGTGGGTTGGCCATGGTACTATTGGGACACTTAAAATATTATTAAACATTGGGTGTAAAATCACGCTAGTAGCACACATCGCTATCCTTCATAGCAAAACTGTCTCGCCAAAACACTACAAAGCGCAAACGTCGCACGGAACCCTGGGGCGAAGCATTGGACAAATCACACCACTCTCGTCCTCACTGCCTCCCTCGTACAGTCTGTCTTAAAAGTACCGCGCAAAGTGACGGTGGATCCATCAAGCCTGACCGATGAAGGACTGCCAAATTTGAGTCACCGAAGCAATGGACATCCTCGTCCATTCCCCAGCTCCATTGGTTCGGTGACTTTCAAATTATAGCAGGCCCTTCCTCGGTCAGGCTTGATGGATCCACCGTCACTTTGCGCGGTACTTTTAAGACAGACTGTACACCCGTGTGGCGGCGCCTCTCACCATTCTCACCTTTCCCGCTCTGCGTCTCACCTGTGAGCGGCCCGCTCTGGCTCTCACCTTGCACCGGCAGTCGGGGCAGTGGGCCTGCAGCGTGCGCCAGTGAGCGGCACTGGCCAGCGCCTGCGGCGGCGCCGCGATGTTGCAGGGCGCCGCCGTGGAGCGGTTGGCGGGTGCTGCGCACGGGTCGTCCTCGCAGCGCGGACAGCAGTCGCCCTCCGGCCACACGGGGTTGGAGCAGGCCACAGGGGGACACTGCTGCTGCCAGCAGTCGATCTCACCGGCCTGGGGGACGGGGGGGGGGGGAAGGGGCGTCAGTGGGGGAGCTGCAGGTTGAAATCTGCAGGTCAGACATTGAGGTCAACGGTCTAGAGAAAACATTTCTATTTTCGCTATCCTGAAAGATGTTGGTATGGGGAGGACGCTAGAAATGGATCATAGTTTTACCAGTGGCAGTGCAGAACCGTACTGATTTATGACGGTGTTGTTTTTGGACGCTGTCCCAATGTCATCATTTTACAATGAAAAAGCTGAATGGGCGATAACCACCCAGGCGCCACCAATACCAGCCTCAGACACTCGGATTAGCAGAAGAAACATCAGTGTGATCGGATCTAGACCGCCTTCATTTTTCACCAATCTCCGAACCGACCTAACGATGGTCGCTATCTTTCCAATCCGTAAATCCTTCGCTGCCAAAGTGTCCCCAATGAACTCTTCCCAATCGCCCGTAACCATCTCTGGCCGCTCCACCCCATATCCCATCCCCACCCCTCCTTTCACTCTGGGGCGTCAGTATTCAGTAACGCTGGTCCCGGGTCAGCCTTCCGGCGGGCGGGGGCTCGCGCGGCGACTTTCTATCGATTCAGGGTTACTGGGAAGGACGCGGTGTGTGGGGCGACGGATCCACACACCCATGGTAGTAAACAGGGCGTTTGTTTTCGGTAGTGCATCGCCCATGTGTTGATGAGGAGTCAGAAATGGACAGGATTGCGATGGCTGCGATGATTAATGTGCCGTAAAACATGTGGGTGAAGAATGACTGCTGTCAAGACATTGACATGTGGCTACTGGCTAAGAAGCCTACTGCTTGTGTTATGAAATTTACGACAGCTTTGGTTGGGCCCTGCGTGTTGGGAGTCCTCGGCATTGTAGGAGTTGAGTCGAAACACGAGAAATTCTTGAAAAATGTGTGCGCAGCGGCTGCTGGTTGTTTCACGAAACACAAAAAAAGTGCTCACAAATTCTCCTCACTCATTTAATTGGTGGTCACTCACCAGACACTCGCAGAGCTGGCACTGGTGCAGCCAGCGGTCTCCGTTTCTAAACCGAACATTGGGTCTCGTCTGGTGGAAACAACCCGAACTGGAGTCGCACCTGTCAGATACAGCGCTGCGTTAGAACAGGGGATACGAATACCAGCATATGCACTTCGATAAGTAATCTGGATAGAACCACCCGAGTCACATAGTCTTAGCAGCTTGGGCCGTAAGGCTGGATAGTGGGTGGGGCTTCTATAGATACAGTCTTAAATAATAGGCATATGAATGAATAGGAGACGGTTCAAAGCATCGCGCGGATGGATTCTCAGTATAAAAATTCTGGCTCATGCTGAAAACATGAAGTAAGTTGTTACTTAAATGACCGTTATATAATGCTTGTTATGCAAGATGTGATAAATATTAAAATAGCCCTGATGAATAAATAATTACATTTAACTGTAAATGTACCATTAATTCAGCACAGTAAGAATAAATACTATCGTCCATGTAAAGCGGTACTTATATAGCTACAGTAGCTGCCATAGAATTCTACTCTATGACCTTTCGTCGTCACTCACTTTGGGCAGCAAGTGACGTCCACGTCGGGGTCGGAGCAGTCGCACGGTCGTGGCTGGCACGTGGTCACGCCGTCCAGGCAGAGGCACGTGTGGCACGCGCGTTCCGAGTCGGGCCAGCTGGAGCCGTGCGGGTGCACCTCGTCCCCGACGGTACAATCTGAGGTCACAGGAGGTCAGATGGTCAGACAGGACCTCGTCCCCGATGGTACACCCTGGGGTCACAGGGGAGGAGCAGGTCGTGCGGGGTGGGCTGGGGTGTACCATGAACGTAAGGTCAAGCGGGATGGATTGCTGGCGAAAAAGGCCATTAGCAGCAGTGTTCAAGGACGATTTAATATTTTATCGTCTTTGCTTGGATCTGACTTATCTTGATTTTAGGGCGTGCAGTTGTAAAACAGTTTGAGGTTCTAACAACGATGAATGGGGTTCTTTTCTTAGATTCTCTTTCTCGTTCACAATGAGAATTGTGTGGAGTCGGTATGCATGCAAGACGAGGACAACTTATGTAATTACAGTTTCAGAATGTAGGTACGGAGAACCAATCATGTTTCTTTCGTCAGACTCTGTAGTCGACACGGTAACCTTTCAGGCGACAGTTGTCTGCCTGTTATCTCGGCTCGGTGTGCCGACACAACAACACCGACCTCCTAACGAGAATGTTATCGCGCTGCAAAGAAACACAAGGACACCGCCTCGTGCCTCCAGAATATCAGAGCCGATAGACCGTGTACACGGCCGCCGCGCCGCGCCGCGCGACATTAGACCGCCAGGGCGATAACCTGAATTTCACACTGTTCCCGCCCACCTGGTGGCGCCGTCACGCGACAGGGCACTTCTCCCCAGAGACCCCTCTGTCACCTCCCCGTCCCCCTCTCCGTCCCCTATCGGTAACAACATTGCGCGGGGTTTCCGTAAAGAGCCGATCGGTGGCTCCCCACTGAGCCGTCCTTTTTTGCCGTCTCGATGGGCACTTGAAGGGTCGCCGTTTTATTGGCTGCGTGGACGATAGGGGAGCGTTAGCGGGCCGTGGGCCGGCCGCAAGGGGACTGATAGAATGGAGCCGCCGACAGCGCGAGGTGTATTTCAGGATTATAGATAGAGAGCCGGGCGCAGAGGGAGATGTTTGAACAGAGGGAGCCTGCAGGGGAGAACCGGATGGTGTGAGGTCTTTATCACGGTCTCACAGCCGCGCGACGGCAGAAGACTGAGAGACTTTGTTTTCGCTGCCGAAAGACAAAACCAACGCATGCAAGATTGTCGCCAAGGGAGCGGTAGGGATTTATTGGAATACAATTCAAGGTGCGTAAAAGGCACGGCAGGTGCTGGATATGCAAAATAAGAATAATAATTCAGTTGAAATTGCCCATTGCCTTCTCAATGATTTTCAACAACCACATAAATTAGCACTGGCCCCAGAAGTCAATTACCTGAAAGGTCTCGCAAGTGGTAACAGAATACATTTCCTAAATATCAGAGACGGATTAAAAGCTCATTTACATACTAACCCACACGTGTCTGTAGCACCCAAAGTCAAAAGTTCCCAATGGTCAGTAGAGCGTAACTCACTGTTGGTGCACTGTAGGCCGACACACTCGCACGTGTAGCTGCCGTTAGTGTTCACGCACGTGGCCTGCGGGTCGCACGTGTGCAGATTCTCGCTACATTCGTCGACATCTGTGGGATGGAGTTTGGGTCAATGCGAGTGAGATCACAGGGCCGTAGTCAGGAAGCTTGTTTTTACCCGGGCGGCCGCCGACCGAGCCGTGAGGCCGTGCGGCACAGCATAACTTCAGGCGGCCGTTACTCCTGCCATCTAGCGACAAATTCACAAGTTTTGAATATTGATACGCCCGATGTCAAAGTTCTCGACGATAGGAGAAAACGACTTCCTGAAATTTGACGAAAAGTTATCTCATAGTAAAAACAAGGTACATTTATAGTTGAGGTTGGAAATATAGATGTTGCGGAATAGATAAAAAGCGAGACTGTGCTGAATAAACTGACTAGACCGTAACAAACTGAAGGCGGATAAATCGCTACCATTACATCAGCTGTGTTCTCGCTCGGTTACAGAGCTAACATGTTTGACTATTGTCGTGATGACGTAGTCATGTAAACTTCACAGAAACCGTTGTTAAGCTCAGCTCGCCAACAATGACGCCAAGCGGTTGTTGCAAATGATTTGCTATTTCCGAGAACACCTAGAGTCCGTCGAGACGGTTGCTAAGGCAACTTCGTACGGAGGCTGATTTATTGTGACATCGTCCTATATCAGATGATTTGTGGTAGAGCATATTGCATGGACAGATAATGTATAGTTACGAGTCGTACGTGAGATTTACAGTGCATTGTGCCTCAATAATTCGGCTTGAATTTCGAGTTACATTTATTTATTTGAAATTGTTTTAACGGACTTTCACTGGGTAGTGAAACTGGGTTTTAAAACTGGTAGTAAAACTGGGTTCACTGGGTTTCACTGGGTAGTTTTTTTGTCTGTTTTAAACCTATGTGTGCCCCATCGAAGACTTTTCAATACAAGTCGGAGTACCGGGACCAATAATAACTTTTACCCACTACCCAGTGAAAGTCCGTTAAAACAATTTCAAATAAGCATTTACCTGGGTATTAACTATTAAGACATGACTCTTCAGTCTCATTTACATTTATTTCTATGCATTTGTTAAAGAAATTAAACATTGAACTGTCTTGTCTGTTGAAACAAACTCGACCAAAGTATCTACACCGGTGATGCCGTCTCGCTGTGCGGAGTCTCACCTATGCAGGTGGTGCCCAGGGTGCTGTAGTCGGGGTCGGCCCGGTACCCGTCCCGGCACTGGCAGTGGTACCAGCCGGGCATGTTCACACACTCCGAGTGCGGGTGGCACTGGTGCAGACCCACGCTGCACTCGTCGATATCAGCCTCGCAGCTGGGACCGCCGAAGCCGCGCCGACACGAACAGTTGTCGGGCGCCACGCACCGGCCGCCGTTCTCACACGGCTGGCTGCAGATGGCTGTCGGGGCCGGAGGGATCGTCAGGATCACTGGTCACTGGTCACTGGACACTGGTCACTGGTTAGGACAGGGCAGTGTGGATACGGCTGGGTGACGTGTAAAATAATAAAAACTGACATTAACATGAGCAAACTCTGGCTTTGACTATGACTCAACTTCCGATTTTGACCAAGGTAGCAGCATTTTCGGCCAATCTCATTTATGGCTGCGAAATTTTCCCCCTTATACCTACTTTTAAACTAAGCAGCTATCTGCGGCCGATTTGATAAAAAAGTGACTAGTAATTCCTCAAAATTCACCCACACCACATAGAGCATCCCAGATAATACTCACGCGAGCAGTCGGTGCCATTCCCGCTGTAGCCCTCTGGGCAGTGGCACTGAAAACTGCCCGGAGTGTTGACGCATGTGGCGGTCGGATGACAGTTGTGCGAGCCGTCCAGGCATTCGTTCCTCTCCACACACATGTAAGCGTCGTGCCGCTGGTAGCCTGCGGAGCGGGGTCCGGGGTCAGGAGGTCACGGGTCACAGGAGGTCAAATGGATGCAGTACGAGAGTGTGGTCATGGGTTGCATGAAGTGTTACATGAGTTACATCTTACGTGACACAAGGCCGCCAGTGATCTCCGGGATGTGTTCTTGAGGTCACAGGCATCGATGGGTCGCGTAGGTCACTTGAGGTCACATGTTTTTGTTGAGGTCGCTGAGAGCACTCTTAGATCGCGAGTGTTGGATCGTCTACATTTGCATTGCCGGCTCAAAGATCTGACAGCGCGCCCAGGACCCTCAGCGTGCATGAGAGCGGATATTTAAGACGTAAGCATCAGCGGCCGGCGCCCCTTTGAAGACGGCCGCGAGATATAGGTTGGCTAAAACGGACATCACTTCGCTCCACGATTGCATGGTTACCGAGAACTTTTAGACCCTTAAGCCTGAGATTTTTATATTTTCTGGGCTTTGAAGGTTCTGTTCAGCATTGATGATCTATTACCCCTTAATAATGAGATGCAATGTCCTCCCTGACCCTATGTTAGAAGATTACTCTTCATCATTCCTGATTTGTAATCATCACACATTTTGTCCACCATCTGGCATGTTGTCCCTCCCGTTTCTTCCTCAATCTCCTTGCCACGCTCAACTCCCTGTTACAATAATCCCTTGCCTTTCATCTCCTCTTCTTGTCTATCCAACTGACTCACCTGGCAAGCAGTCGCACTCGTAGGAGCCCACCGTGTTCCGACACACAGTGTTGGGACCGCACTGATGGCCGTGAAAACCTCCGCGGCTCTTGCACTCGTCCAAATCTGAAACCACACACAAACACGCCCCTCAGTCAACAATCACTTACACACACTCCTCGCCATACCAAGGCTCTCCCACAATCAATACGCGTATTATGGTAGATCGTCTCCCATCACAATCCATCACATTTGGGATCAAAAGCACGCACATCTACATCGATCAGGATCTATCGTGACGACCATACGCGCCACAGAGCTCTGGAAGATAGCACCACTCTGCCTTTCCTCCAACGAAGATGGATGAGAAACATCGAGCGTTATCGCTGTGGGAATTCCCCTCCAAGGACCGAAAACGACGCGCCGTATTTCTCACTCTGAATTAATCCACCCATAAATTCGCGCCCGGTCTGCCGCCGTCTTTCCGTCGTCGACGCAACGCAGCGACGTCGCAGACCCTGCAGTCGTGACTGGTTCGCGTTTCTCGGCTTGATTAAGCCATCAGAAGCTGACGTGTGATCAGGGGACGCGCCTTAGCAGACGCACGCCTCGCGCGCCGGCCTCAAATACGCCCCCGTCTGGCTGCCTCCGCTCGAAAAGGCCAGTCACGGGAGGCGGGTGGCATACATATACAGTCGACGCCGCACGACCCAGACAGAGGTGTGACTGTACAGACAGACCCATCACGAAACCTGCCCAGAATAGCCGCCGTCCGGTGCCCGGTTCATGACAGAGAATCCCCTGGCGGGCGGCGCTGCTTCGTGGAACATGTCGGCTCACGATGGCCTGACACCCGAGGGCCTGCTGACATTCCGACAGGCTAAGGGCTGAGGCTGAGAGGAAAATGCTGTTCTGAATACTGCTGATCAAAAAGTCGGGCGTATATGGCCGAAACCGGGGATGTTGGTAAATTACTTCAGACGGCCGAGCCGCGTCTGTGACTTGTAAAATAAACGATGGGGTCAAAGATGGATGGATTGCCGGGGAAGTGTCGGTAATTTTGTGGGAAGTTTGAACATTTTGAAGGGTGGGCTTGTTCACAAAAGGGCAGTCCATTCATGAAGTTATCTGCTTAGCGACACCCTACATATGTTTGAAGGCCAGACGACGCTTAAGTAAATTGATCCCATCCGCTATTGCAACTTTTAGGCATCGTTATGAGTAAATGAGATCAGATCAGCGGCTCTCTCAAGATCTGAGCCGGGCTCTCTGGGCCCCAGGACCCTGTTCTGACCTGCCCGTCTCAGACGTGCTCCGACAGTCCGTCTGAAATCCCACCGCCCTCTCTGGACCTCCTGCAATCGATTGTCGGTCCGGCCAGGCCCCGATGTCGTAAACCGGCCCGCGTGGCGACGCTGTCGTCGCCGACGGCACATCGTCGTCGATAGTGGCGTCCGATTATGCAAATTCTCCGAACTCGGGTCGTCACAGATGGCCAGGGAGACTGCCAATACCCCGATCTGGCGGCCGGGACCGGCGCCGGCCAAGGTCTGGGCCTGATTGCTCGTTTATAACGAAGCGGCGTGACGCATCTGCCGGCGGACTCCAAAACAGCTCCGGCGGCGGAAAATGCCGAGATGGTCGGCACTTTGCAGCCGGAAGAGCGCGTTTTCCTCCGGCGATGGTCTGAAGTGCGGGAGGAACTGCCCTAATTGGGCGGTTCCGACGCGGAAAGAGTTCTCAGCATTTTGAAGCGCCATGCCCAACATTATAAAAAGCGACACTCTTTCTTTCCTATAAATCAGCACCGATTTAACGGCCAAGACGGGTCACCACCACACCGCGTTGCACCACTGTTCCCTCCCCTCCCCATCCGCCTTGTCAGCGCGTGCCGATGTCTTGGCAGACGCGTATCTGATCCCTCCCCCACCGCAGCACGCATCATAACGCGCCGCTCTGGGACGGGGAGGCTGCCTCCGCCGCTGCCCGTCCGCTCTGCCTATCCGCCCGACCGCTGATACCTCACCACTGGGAGGGGAGAGATCTCCGGTGGTAGCACAAGACCGCACAGATTAATACGATCACAGTATACCGCATATTCGCTCAGATTGATTGCGGGGAGGGGCGTGCTCGGAGCACGCATTGTGGGCGGGGTTTCTCGAGATAACTGTTGATTTTGGTATGCTGATAGGTTTTCTTCGTGGTTGACTTGAGAGTAGAGACAAACGTGAAATCTCAGTCAGAAGGGGCCAAGATGAATTGACTTTGATATGCGATGATGCCGAAGGATAAATGTTGCGTGTCATTACACAATACGGAAGAGGGTCCCACATGTATCTCTGACATGTTACCCGTCGGTCGCTCACCTTCGCAGGTTTTTCCATCACCCTTGTAGCCGTCGTTGCACTGGCACATGAAACTGGCCTGGAGGTTGACGCAGGTCGCGTGAGGGTCGCACTCGGGTCGCGCCTGTGCACAGTAGTCCGTATCTGCAAAAAGAAAACGGGTCACAATGTGGGCTTGATGTTTTCTACACCACCTGATTATGATATTCGCAACGAGGTCGTCAACAAGTCGGCAAAGGCCCCACATGATTTATTCAAAATGTGTTCATTTCCTTTGGCAATTGTACATAAAATTGAAATGGCATTCACAAGTCACGTAACTAACGTTTACAAGCACGATTAGATAGCAGTAATTGATAATGTAGTTTTCCGACCAGATACATCAGAGGTCATTATATACTGACCTCTGCAGAGCTGACATTCCTGCCCTATCACTGACCTCTGCGGAACTGTCACTGACCTCTGCAGCCCGGGACTGTCACTGACCTCTGCAGGACACTGACCTCTGCAGCCCGGGACTGTCACTGACCTCTGCAGGACACTGACCTCTGCAGAACTGAAACTGACTTCTGCAGCCCAGGACTGTCACTGACCTGTGCAGAACTATCACTGACCTCTGCAGAACTGGCAGCATTCTCCAGACATGTTGAGTCGCTGCTCGGGCGGACACTGCAGAGGTGGACAGTGCTGCTCGGGAATGATGGTGCTGCACTGCATCACTGAGTCGTGACACTCGCAGGTCATACACCGGTCGATGGCCACCTTCTCACCGTGCTCGTACGAGCGCTGGTTCAGAAAACACTCGCCTGGGGGCACACAGGTCGTCAGAGGGGTCAGCGTCGGCGGCAGAGAGGTCACGGGATCAGGCAGGACGGGCGCCAGGGTCGCAGTCTCAGTGGCTAGCGGCAGTTCAGAAGAAGAGGTCACAGAGGCGAAGTGCGGGATCAGAAAGAAAATGGTCGAGGCAGGTAGTGGTGGGAATGGCCGGAGTGAGCTTATTTGATGAAATTTGCTCGAAGGAGCAATGGAAAGTCGTAACCTATGAGTGGCGCTTAGACTGGATCAAATATGAAATGCGTTGTGTGTGTCATGATAAAGTTAAATGTATCGTGAAAAGTGGAGACAATACAGGAGCCACCATTGATTTGACGATGAAGGTTTTCAGGTTTTAGACGAAATAGGTAGGCATGGAGGTGTTCTATACGGGTTTGCTTTATCATCTTCTCATTCATGTAAGTAAAATCAATCTGGTGGGGAGCTAAGTTTCGTAATCGCATTCTCCATACAAAAATGCACAGTTTCGGCCTCCTTAGTTCTGAAGAATGAATCGCATTGCTGGCTTGGCATTGTTGCCGGTTGACTGCCGGTTTCCATGACAACGTGCATACAGACTGTGTAAGGACGACACGGCTTTCAGCCCCTCGGGTCAGCGGATACGCCGTCCACCCACGCCGTCATTCTTTCACGCCACGTTACGTGAATAAGGAAAGAAGGTATGAACCTTGCTTTCCACTTGCACCGTCTGCAGTGCAGAAACAATCAATGGCCTCCCTTGGGAGACGTGACGGCATTTGACGAAGGTATGTAATTGCCACTTTAATTGTACTTGTTGGCGTGAGACTTGTTATGAATTTCAAGCTCCATTACCTGAATAAATGATGACTCGTTATTTAACGGTCGGTCGAGCCTTGGTGAAAGAAGCATCAACGGAGTCTAGGTCAAATATAACGTCCTTATAAACTGTGAAGGCAATGCAAAAGTTTTCTACCGCAAAGGTGTTGTTTACCCGTTTATGCATTCAAGCATCGACTTAATGAGTGACAACTTTGTTGGACTGTACAAATTCAACAGCAAGCTCTCCTTTGATCTGCCGTCTAGACAGTGTTTCGGCCAAGAGCAATATTGTTTGAGTTGATTTGCAGGCGTCACCGAGTTTGTTTGGCGGTGGCGGTATCCCTGACCTCTCCAATGACGCCAGGAGCGGGGGAGCGGGCCCCTGCCGATGGGGTGCCAGCAGCGCGCACTGACTGCCGAGACGTATCCACTCGTCATATAGGCACTGAGAGCTCCTGGATTCTCTGGGGAATCTCGCCTTCTGCCCAAAGGGTTACAAAATATAGCAACCGTCTGTTTGGTCTGGATTTCTCAAAGATGCGCATAGTAACTGGTCCTACCACTAATCTTAACACCAGTATAACGCCTTTTGGGGCGAGTAACGGAGCGAGCGAGAGGGTGAGCCTTGCACGTGCGAAATTTCGAGGGAGTACCTCCAACTGACTTGTGCGCGGCACCCTACTAACTGGTCTCTAGCGATGTGCCAAATTTGAGCACAATCGGCCCAGCCGTTCTCGAGATCTGGAAGCGGCACTCTGCACGTGCGCACGTGCAAAATGGGTCCCAACTGACTTGTGCACGGCACCCTACTAACTGGTCCCTAACCGTGTACCAAATTTGAGCGCCATCGGTCCAGCCGTTCTCGAGATCTGGAAACGACCCCTGCACGTGCGCACGTGCAGCAGCACCCCAACTCTGGCACATGGATATGCAGTGCCTAGTGGGTGCCTACCTACATGCCAACTTTCAGCGCAATCGGCCAAGTAGTTACCGAGATATTGCAACAATTACAAAAGTGACACCTCTTCGTTTTGCACGTGGCACGTGCATAAGGGGTCACCCACATGCATCGGGAATAGTCCAATACTTGGTAGAAGGAATGAAGCTACCCTACAAAAATTACCGCATGTAAATCGGTCAAGTGGTTGCTGAGATATAAGCCTCGCAAAAGCGTCCGCACGGCCGGCCGGCCGGCCGGCCGGCCGCTCATACTCAGAAATTTCCGTTATTCTACGTAAGACTCCGCTCGCTTCGCTCGCTCCGTAACTAGTAACTGCATGGGCCACGATTGCATAAATCCGTTGCAGCGAAGGCTCCATGGATTTGGAATTAAATCAATATAAGCTTTGCATAAAGACCTGGCGCATTAGCCCACACAAGAAAACCTGTGTCGTACGTGTGTAGTACGTTAAATCTACGTCATGTGGAAAAGTGGCTTCACCGACGTCCGTCCCGACAAATCACTAAACAAACAGCCTGGACAGGTGGGAACAATAGACCAGGCCGAGGTTAAATACGGCCTGACACGCGCCACTCGGCCACCGCAAAAGCCGGCGGCGGTTATTTTGGCGCCGCGTCCGTCTGGTGGCGGTGCGTCGGGGCCGACGATGGTAGTCGGTGCCGACGCCGTGGCGTGACGGTGGAACAGCGCGTGAATCGGTGCGGGGACGGTGTCACCACGCAGATACGCCGCGCGGAACAACACATGCCAGCGGACGATACATACGCCTCACGCACGATCGCAACTATAGCGACTATAATCGTATGTATAGATGGTGGGTGTGATAAGGAATAGACTCTTACACGACGCCCACATCGCAATGGATATCGACGATTGAAACTTGAAGCGGCACTTGGTCACGTGAGTGGCAAAAGTCATGAATTCGTCCGTAAGTCGACGATATATGGTTTGATTTACATTGCTTATGCTTTAAACAAAAAAAAAAAAATCCCACTTGATAAGCCGGGTATATTCGAGGAAGCAAATCAACGATAAGATTCCACTAACGGGGTTCAATACAGGTGCCATGCCATCTCCCGAGTTAATCAAAAGAAGTTTCTGTTAACGCTTAAAAGCAAAGTACCATAGCAGTTTCACTCAAGGCATTATCAAAAACAGAGATTTTCTGGAAAAAAAAACGTTCAAAGAGAGCGGACGGCCGCCACCTAATCAGCTAACTGGTCTCTCTGGTCGGCCGGTGCTGTGCGGATCTGGGCGGGGTCACCAGTCGACTGCAGCCCCAATCTGCGCGGCCCGGCTCCGTCCGTGGCAACGAGCCTGTCTCGCGCCGCCGTCCAAAGGTCAGCGTGAATGTCAGCGCGGCGTGGCGCGCGTCTGGACTGACCGGAATCTGCACTCGGACGGCGCGACCCTCGGCCGTGTCAGCAGCGGCGCCGCTTTGAGACTGAGCCGGACAAGTGGGGTCACAGAGCCGTGCCCCCGGGGGACGACTCTGAGCAGAGGGCGACCTGGGCTGAGGGAGAGTGGAGGTAGAGGTGGAAGGTAAAATGTGCGCAGGTCAGTGATGAATGTTGTGCTGTGAGCATTTCTTATCACCAAGCTGTCAGCTGGCATGATGACGGATTGGATCCAACTAATTTATGTAGCTCTTGGTTCATACAATAGCTGAATCGCCATATTTATCGTGGATCTGCATATGTAAGATCCATAAGAATCAAACAAACGGTACCTTTCTGGCTCGGTGCATATTTCAAATCAGATCGTCCTCCATTATTTAACTCGGTCGTGAATTTGCCTTTCAACCATCTCCCATCGATCAAATCGTGAAGCACCGTGCGTGCGGAGGGGACGTTACGTCCAGTCGACGGCGGGCGGCGGTTACATACAGCTAACCGCGCCGCCGTGTCCTGGGCTACCTGCTCCACGTGCCACTGACGCGCCGTCGTGGCGCCCAAGGCCCTTTATACCGCTCCTCTCCTCTCTGGCGCGTGGAGTGGCGCCTCTCTGACGCCTTATCATACCTCTCTGACGTCCTATCGCGCCCCTACAACGCACTACCGCGCCTCTGCAACGCACTACCGCGCCCCCGCCGCGCCCCTGCGCACGCCCAGCCAAGCCCCGCTCTCCAAATGGCAGCGCCCTCGGTCACGCGCCTCCACTGCACGCCTGCCAGCAATGGGCAGCTGCAGTGATGCCACACATCATCCCAGATCACACCACCGCCGGCCGGACTCGGTGACATCGGCACATAGCCGGCATACTGGCGCCGCAGCGCTGTCGTCTGAGCGCGGCACCATTCGGCGCTCTCAGAGGGTGTTTGCAGGGTGTGAAGTAAGCCGTCCGGCACACAGACAGAGAGTGGGAGAGGGATGGTATTGGGAGACAGAGACTGAGACAGTGTGGAAAGAACGAAAAGGACAATGGCGATGGCCCAGTAAAAATACAGCCATGCCCACAGGCCACAATGCCACTCTGCAGACCGACAGCCAGACGTGGGAATTGGGCCGTAAGAATTCACTTCGGTGTGATGCCATCTTTGTGGTATGAGAGTATACAACAAGAATCAGGACGCTGAACACCCTCTGATAGAAGAACGAAATGCCTTGACAAACTTTCAATAAAGATGCCAATAAGTTAATGATGGCTGTCCGTTGTAGAAGGGAGTTTCAATAAAATGGCATTTACACCTTTGTGAGTTGATTTAAACAGAATGATCGGGACCGACAGAATGAAGTGGTTGGTAGTTAAACCATTCGCAAAATAACACAAAAATTAGTCGGAGAGTTTCATTGGAACGATGGTGGACTTACCTTTACATTTCGGGCAGCACTCTCCATTTTCAATAATTGGGTTTGAGCAGTTCAATGTCGGGCATTTCATTGGCCGACATTTAACTTCTCCTTTCTGCGAACAGAAGGAAACACTGTCAGCGATTATAACGTATTTTGTTACAAACCCCTTTAACGAGAGTTCCGGTGCTCATACAGCCCAGCTATCGACATCAAATACAGACCCATTAATTAAAACTCAAATCAGTTTTCGCAGAACCCGAACGGTAAATCACCTCCACGCCGTCACTACCAGATCGCGTTGCCACAGCATACATCATTCTGAGTTAAACTCACATCACTCCAAAGAGGCCAGTAAGTGGCACAAACCCACCCACTCAGTGGGGTTAGCTGAGCGCCGGTCACGCAAGGCCAAAGACTGACTCGACGCACTCACGCAGTGGCTGGAATGTCGCCCATGGCCGCATAGCTGCTGCATGGACCTAAGTAGTGTAGTCAGACCTAGTGCCACTGTCGCCCACCACCCACCACCACATCACTCCCCCCCTCCATGACAGCCCCCCCCCCACCTCCCTACTACTGTACTGCCCCACCCGGCCAACCACCGTTCCGTTTCCTGCCCCCACACCGCCCCGAAATGTTGCTGGCTCGTGCGGTAGCGACGGGCGGCCACGGCACCCTCCACGGGGTTCCGCTGGTGGTAAAGGCCCGGTCGATTCCTATCCAGTCACTGTGAGGCTGGCGCCGTAGCGGAACAAATGCGCGTGGAGGGGAGGTGTCTGCATTCATCGGGTGATACTAATTTCTGTGATGGCTTCGAGAAGGGCATGTGCAAAATGCAGAGCCTGACAATGTACATTATTTACAACAAACAAAACATAGAAAAAGATGCAAAATGTTTGTGATGTACACCAAAAGTGCATTGTGACAATAACGTAAAGTTATTAATTGTCGGACACAGTTCATCGCTATGGAACTCTCCACGTCTTTAGGGCCTTGTCTCCATCCTTCTACATTTGGGCGGCGTGGCGCACACGGTGATTCTTACCGCTATATCTCACTCCCGAGTGATATGCCATCGACCCCCTCCCAGCGAGCGGTGGTGAGCACCCTGTGTCAGAATGATGATGAACGATACCATTACACTTGTGTGGACGAGAAGGGTGGCCATCCTCAGTGACATAATGTCGTGAGAAGTGCATTTATCCCGACAGGCAGAATGAGCGTGTTGATGGGATGAGACCATCGTGTCAGTATTGATAGCAAACAGCTGTTATGGCGTGTAAACAAAACATAGCGCGTAACGCGTCCGTGCGGTATATGAGAGCCATTTGTTGTCAGAATTAGCATGGTACTTAACACAAGCCAGGCTATTACTCGGGTGAAACATTAAGGATAAAAAATTACTTAATAACAGCTTGCTTTAAAAAAAGACAGGAAACGAAATATTTCAGCAGTTTGCAAGACATTGATATGCCACCTCGTCCATCGCGTCATTGTTCTCCAAATATAGATGCCTTTCGCGCGTGACGTGCCAGAAACGATTTGCGTGAAACAGTCGGCACTTTTGGTGAAACGCAACCGTATTTAAATGGACTAATGGTCAATGATGCACACATAGGGTGAGAGACAAAGGCAATTAAGCTAAATTGTAGCTTCACTGGTCACCAGAGCAGATGAAAATTGTTGTAATTGTAACAGATGGATACCTGTGCAAAATGCAAATGAGTATTTACGTCATCTATCGTGAAATACGACTGGAACGTGTCGCCGATCTAGTTTCAATGATCAATGAGCTGGCCGTGACTCAGGAGTTTGTCGAGGAAGTGGTTTGGGCGTGATACTATTTACCTGTGAGCTGGGGTATCGTTTGCTGTAAATCTGCCGCCAGCCCGACATGATTCAGAGCAGCATTAGTGACGCCGTGTGACTCACTCGCCGTGATACGTGATCCAAGCGGCTCTCGACTGGCAGCATGTGATCCAGCCCAGGTGGATACATTAGCCGCTGGATGCGATTCTCGACACAGTCCTGGTGTACGGCTCTGCATATGCGCGTTAATCCGCTCTGTGAGACACAGTCTCCAAAACGAGCTCTGCTGCTATACGTGGAACTAGTTACAATGTGTTGCGATGGTCCAGCCTACTAACTTTCGACTAATTTTATCATAGATTTAGGGTGATAGCCATTTTGACCCCCAGAACACCAGAGCAATAAATAGCGCCCAGCTACGGAAAGAAGCGACACCATTAAAGGGAGATTATGACCTTTTTCCACAAAATCTGAGTTATGACCATTCTCTGACAAAACACAACAAGTTATAATGTAAATTAAAACCATTTTGCTCAATTCGGTACCTTGCCGCAAATATCTCAACTTGAAGTCACGTTAGCGGGGAGCGCTGAAAATGACCGTTGAATAAGTACTTACATCACTTTTTGGTACTTGCATGTAATTTTGTAAAATGAGCGTATTCATTACATTTGATCTTCATCACATCTAGTTAGTTAATGGTCGTCTATAGTGCCTTCAAAAGATATTCATGGTTGGGGGGTGGTTTATGTCTAAATTTACGCAACTATTTTTCCTGTTCATCATCTGTCGCCATATGCTGCTATTTTAGTAGCAACGACTCAATTTTGAATCGGTCCCGCCGACTGCACAATAAAAGAAGATAGATACAACACTTTTGCGGCATCACTGAAAAACTTATGCAGTACTGTTATCAAAATTCTCATAACACCGTTCGACAAACCTGGTCTTTTTGAAATAAATATGCTTGTATTTTTCGCTTCAGGCTCTGAGGCCAAAATAATGAATTCCGTAGTCGCAATCGCAAGATTTGGCTGCGTTTCTGGCGCATGCCATTCATTTGTGGCGCAAAATAATACTTGGAAACAAAGAAGAGTAGGCACTATGTACCCCCGAATTAGAATCTAATTAATTCTAAACCGAATTAACTCTAATTCAAATTAGAATCCTTACAACCAAGCAACGACAAGGCGATAACATAAACAAAAACCCAAGCGTCGCTGTTTGAAACAAAAGCGCCATATACTGCGACTTTTTTATAGAGAAGGACAACGCATTTCGGTGGGTGTTACAAGTACTGCAAGTACTGCTTCTTTTTTGCAAAAATAAAAACCTTTTTCACATACGAAAATGTGCTAGAAAATTTTCATATTTTATAGAAACTACAGTAGAAATAGTATAGATGTCGAGTAATTTTTATTTAAGAAAAAAGAAAGCTCATTATCTCCCTTTAAGTAACACGGAACAAAAATGGTAGACGAACGCGTTTCGGCTAAATCACCGTCATCAGCGTCTAAAAGGAGAGCAAGAGGCACACATCGAGCAAATATCACAGTTCAATCGTTCGTCTACCATTTTTGTTCCGTGTTATTATACTTGTCTCAACTGAAATACCATTAAGTAATTTGAAAGTCTATTTTACTTTAAAATTGCCAGCGACCAGCCAAGTAGCAAGAAATGCTGCCAATAACTTCTCACTTCGTCGCACACAATTCAGTTTCCACGAACAAATCGAAAACGGCCCAGCCACCATCTGCTAGATCGAAATAAAACACCCATCAGATCTGACCTTCAGCAGCAGAGCGGGAGGTCGAGGCAGACTGTTTTGCCTGAAAACTATCTTCAGAAACATATCCGGCCAATTCGCCATCGCTGGAGCCGGCTTTTGTCGACCGAAGGTCTCAGGAAGCTGGATCGCGCAGAGGCCGGAAATCAACCGAGTCGGGAGCAGCACCCGAACTGCTCAGGCGCTCTCCATTTTAGGGCGTTTCCGCCAGCAGCAAAAACTCCAAAAAGAGTTACGTCTTATCTCTGTTAAAACTCCAATCCGATCAGTTTCATTTTTAGGATACTTGGTAGCAGAGGGCTTGTGAATAAAACTCGGGTCAGGCTCGGTCGTCTCTGTCATTGCCTATAAGTCAGCTTCCCTCCCTCCCCATCTGCTGTACGCTCAGTCTTGTCGACCACCGGAAGCGTTCCGACTGACGACAAACTCGGCGCAGACGGTAAACTGGTCGCAGACGGCGGCGGCGGCGGCGGCGGCGCGGTGCGCGCCACTTTCGCCGTCGGGTCAACACGCGCTATCAGCCGGGCTGCCCTGCCGGCGCCGTTGTTCAGACAATGACCGTGTTTGAGCCCGGGTGGAAACGGGCTGCCAGGGTGTGCCTAATGTCGGGTGCCAAGGACAGCGGTCAACAAACAGCCGCGCCGCCACGCAGCAGGCATTGGCGTTTGTGGTTGACGAGCGAATACCTGGTTCTAGCATTTATTTTTGACCATGGTAGCCACTAGCTACAGCTAGCGCGAAACAAGACTTGGATTTACTACCGACAAAAATGTTTACAAATGCATAACGTACTTATAGATGTGTATTGATTAATGAGTATGTTCCAAATTAGCGATTCAATAACTTGAATAGACGGGTGTTTATAAAAAGCACAAGCGACCAACGCTCTCATCCTCTTCAATGCATGGTTCGCCGCCCTCCCTCCTGCCCCGTCCTCCCTCCGGACATGAGTCTCTCTCTCCACCCCTGTAATGACTTACCATGCAGGCGCAGATGCGGCATCCGTCCATCCAGCTGGTGCCGTCTGCTCGGAAGGTGTTGTTGAAGTGACACGATCGCTGGCACTCACACGTCTCTAGCTGCTTCAGCGACTCCTCCGCCATACGGAGCTGAAAGGAAAGACCAGCTTCAGCATCGGGACTCGGCAAAACTTGAGTCAAGCTAAATAGGGTGTGCTGTTTTGTCTGACGCACACATCGAAGACGCATCGCGGTTTCACGATTACCTAACATCTCCCGTTTCAGTAGTGTGTATGTGTCCGACATTCATCATTTTATTCCCTTTGAATGCATGTTTTATTACATCCTAACTAGTCAATGTGATTTGCGATCACGATCATTGTATTGAATCTGAACGTAAGCCCCTGGCTACTCGCCCTGAAATTTGGTAGGTGATGTTTGCCAGTCACGCACGTCTGGAAGACTGACTGGCCGACTTCACCCGCGATCGTTGATCACCAAATGTCGTGAGCCCCACCATAGTCGGTGCAATTCGTAGACTTTTAGCACACAATGTAGTGTCAGTGGTCAAATGTGGGACAGGTAGTGGCATTGCGACTGGCTTGGGGAGAAAATACACACCTCGTACGTAATTATATAAACGCAACTATATCAAACGATAGGAAGATATTAGATTAGCAATTACGCAGCCCCATGACACTTAAACTAAAGCGCTGGCTCATATACGACCGCATTTTCTAGCCCATTTTGATATTTTCCCCCATACATTCAGTATGAATATTCAAGCAGTGCCACTTAAAATGAAATGTTCCCTTTATGTGTCAACCAAGCTTTAACATCTCGGCATAAGCTTTGTCTTGAGCAGCACCTGGACCCCGGCATAATCTTTAGCTTTTATGAATATGGCAGGGAAGTCATAAATTACCCACCCTGTCACTTAACGGGCACATTTATTGGTAAATGGTACAATTTATGCCCGGAAGGCTTTTAGTGCGTCACCAGCGCTACAGTGTTTCGGCTCACCCTCCACCTGAGCCCAGCCATCAATACCGGCCCCCGTTTCCAACACGTCGCTGGAAAGGCCGTCGAAGGCACAACCCTTTCTCTAATCACCCCGCAACGGGTCCACGGGCATCCTCTCCCACTCTTCACACGACGAGCACCATTAAATTTGTTGCGCGTGGTAGGGGCGCGAGAGTCACGCCTTTCAACCACCGTCCGTCCGTTTCGACGCGCGTCCTTTGTGTCGCACTGCAGTCGTCACGGGACGACTGAGTGCTAGTTGGATCGATTTCGGTGCCGCGTGCCGAATTCGGTATCGAAAGGCACGCGCATCGGGATGGGGTGCAAAACGCCGGCGAATAGCGTCGTGCGCTGAGTTTCCGAATTCAATCGATGGGTGAAAGGGTGGGATTAAAAAACCGAAGAGCGACGTTCCATGCAGACGTGACACTGCTGTGAAAAAGAGGACCCACCGAACATGCATATTGCATAACCGATGACGATAATTTAAGCTAGCGGTAGTGACGTATGAAAAGGTGCAGCCCATCTACATGCATAATACTATTTGCATTTTAAGTATTTGAAGGATCACAATAGCCGAATCGGTATCTTCACAAACTGATAGAAAAGCAACGGTGGATCCATGTCCTCCTCCGGCGCAGCGCTAAAAATCGATGAAAATCTGTCGTCATTTATTTCTGGAAAAGGCGACCATGCCTGTAATGTAACCCGTGCGCTCCGGGATACGGTCTCCTTTTTCCGATAATGTCGTCTCTCCCAGCCCATTATTCTGGGCCGCTCGGTCGCATCTGGTTAGCAAATAAGCGTTCCGACCGCCACTCAGGAATAAGGCCACGTTGATTACACCCCGGAGAGCAGGTTACGCCGACCGCCGGGATCGGATCGGCGTCTCAGCCTGCCGCAGGCGGGTAGCGACGGAGCACTTATGTTGTATTTGTGGCTCTAATGACGAGGAGTTCGAGCAAAAAAAGCTTCATTCAATGAAAGAGATGGGTATTTTATTCAATATTTGACCCAAATGCATTTGGAGAAGAGATGAGGCTAAAACAAAGACTGAACTATTCATTCAGCATACCATTTCGCGCCATCATTTGAAGGCGCTGTTCTTTGAAATGTGACCGACATTGAATGGGAATGACCCGTAAGCAGCATCTACCCGGACGCTTATATCAAAGTAATGGCTTTAATGAACTCGGCTAACAGATTCTGGATGGACGGTTGAATGATATTTGCGTCTGAACTGAAATGACGGAGATATGAGGCTGATGAAGCCGCTCATAGTCTTATTTACACACGAGCGTTTGTTACGAAAAATAAATGCATTTAGAATGTCATGTTTCAAAATGAAATGAGTGTATCCTTCACGCCTTAAGATCATAAAAAGGAAAGAACGTGATAAGCACAGACAAGCGGAAGCGCGATTCACCGCGACGTGGAACTGTGGGGCTCGGCGCCTGGCGGCCAGCCGCCGCCGCTCCGGGTAGGCTGTGCCGCAACACACCGGGTTCGGCGGTACAGCCTACGTCTCCAGGCGCCAGCGACTCGGCGGCGGAGACCGGCCTACGTGGCTGACGGAACTGAATGAATCTCAAGCTTGGTCTTGGAAACGGCTGGTTATGCTGTGCATATATCTTCACGGAGCTGGTAATGAAAGTATTGTGCTCGTAACGTGATGTAAGATAAGCAAACTCATGGCGAAATAAAATCTAGCATCGAGTGAGTAGTAGAATGAATTCAACCACCACGCCATGGAAATTTGCTTGATAAGCACCAGCCGCTAATTATTCCGATACATGATAAAGGTTGTACCACTACCAATGAATCGACACATGGCTACGATTACTCGACACTCCAGTCCCACCAGGTGCAGTCCCGATTTTGTTCGATCAACAGTCCCACGAGTGAAAGTGCACCGAGGCAAACATTCTGCAACAACTACACGCTGTTTCTGACCAAAAGCGTGCCACAATCGCCGCGACCCCGCCAAATGCACGCCACAATTGCGGCACTGGGCGTCCGCTATTGCATTACATTTGTTCACGTCGCACCACATTCACGTACAAATTGCAGTCGTCTATGCGGCCCATCAGCGTTAGGAAAACCTGCAGCAATGACTCGCAATGGCAGCTATCACTGGTGCAGCCAAATGGGTCAACTGCCGACAATGAACACTGAACAGACAGGCTCACTCACACCTGCAATTATGCAAAATGGGACATATAAAGAACGCCGCTCCTAGCATCGGCATTTAATTGCAGATAACAAAACGCTTTACATTGCGTGCCATTGCGTAAAAAAATATGAAACGCTGTCATATTTTCGACCTACTTTCAACACATATTTTATAAAATACATTTGTTTAAGCGTTTTATAACAAATATTGTTGAAACAATGTGTCGCGAAGGAAAAGACGATCTTTATGAGAAACCGTGTCGGAATTCAAAGGGCAAAACTGAAGTTAATGTGTTCCGTTTATTGCAGAGCTATCCCACTTACTGTCTCATTTCGAAGACCCAGAAAGTTATTGTCTTGCGACATGTGAAAAGTTCGCGCTATTTGAATTTAAATGTGGCAGTAAATATCACAACCATTACCATTGAGATTACCTCTTGAGATGCATTTAATCACAAGCCATAAACCATAACTCTTCTCTCTCGGTCATAGCACTCGTACAAAGTTTTCCTCATGTCTCAACTCTGGGTCGCTCTAAACTTCCCCTGCGTCCATCACAAGGAAAACCGCCACTCAAGAGCGGCCACAACTCACCCTTTGCGTCAGCTCTTCCACAGTTTTCTCCAGGTGCACCACGGCCGCCTGAAGGCTGCGAAACTGGCCACAGGACGGACACGTGGCGTCCAGGTCGGGACACTGCGCCAGGTAGCCGTGAGGTCCAAACACCAACTTCACGTCCTGTACCGCTCCCTGGGGGCGGAAGGCATACGCAGGGTTAATGGGGGACGTTGGGTGGGAGGTGTTAATACTTACATAGCTTGTTTGATAGTTTGTTGGATGCTGAGAATAAAACAGCTGTAAGTACAATTACGGGGTGAATTGGATACAGCTTTATCTTAAATCAAATCATGGATGACATAACAGTCAGATCTAACTTCGTTCAGTGGGCATGTTCGTGTCTTTTAAATCATAACGACATGGGGGCTTGGACAATAAACTTTGGTGTTTTAAAGAAACCCTCAAGTTCATCGATGGCTTTCAGAGCTTCAACATAGATCACAAAAATAACGAGTTGTTAATTGCTCACGCATTAGAGACCCAAGTTTGATATAGCTCAAGTTCGGTCCAGTTTCACGTTTCCAAGAATACGTCACTCCTGGGTCTCGTGTGGCGGGAAGTTGGCAGCGGTTCGGCAGATAAGGTTTTGGGGACACTGCCGTCACCACCGCCGGGGAGCAGGATAATGAGGTCTGACGCAGAGAGAGGCGACACGGCACCGGACGGCTGAGTGCGGTGATGGCGGCGGAAGGGGAGGCGGGGAGGAGGCGGAGGAGAGGGGAGGAGGGAGGGAGAGAGGGTGGTAGATGGAGGATGAGGTGGTGGATAGAGCCGTGAATGGTGGAGGCGGCAGTGGCAGCGGAGCGGGCCGGTGGCAGTTGGCAGGGGAGGAGATGATTACGGGGCCATTCTCCACGCTCCATTACCGGCGGCCTATCTGAGACACTCCCGTCCTGCCGGTAGTGGGTCGAGACTGCGCGGCGCGACCACGGACGCCTCCCCCGGAGGGAGCCCTCGTCACGCCTTTTTTGGACAGTTTTTCTATCCTCAGCCCCACTATCATCATCACGCGCCTCACACCGCCCGGCGGATAAACATTGCCTCATGGTCTTCTACCACCCCGAAACGTTAATTGGGTTCGGGGGATCGATGATGAGGTTCTTTGCAGAGGCGTGCTGTTCTATCCACAACTGTTGTTGTTTGGCCTGGTGTTTGGTAATTGGTGCTACCCGGCGATATCATTCAGTAAATATGTCCTAGTTCTTGAAACCCTACGACGGCATCCGTCGAATGCTAAAGAATCGTCAAAGTGTCTCGCTTATTGCAAGCACAGTGAAAATAATTCACTTATCAAAATATCGTTATCAGCAATCCATAGAAATGTCAAATAAGCCACAATGAAGCAGGCGCTACAGTGTCGACTGTCGATGTTAATGAAACGATCTATGGCAAAAGAAGGAATGTCACTATGACGCAATATTTCCTTCGGTAGCAGCGATAGCATGAATAACCCGGTAGCCAAAGAAGCAGCTGACCTTTCCACTACGAAGTACGAATTAAGAATTTAACTGAGGTTCATGGGAGACGCTGCAGTTAGAAGAATGCTGGAAAACTTCACAGTGACATTCGCATCCATTCACTTTCGTAGTCGGAAAGGACTGGGATGCATTTTTGCTTCAAATTAAATTTAATGCTTTCGATAAGGGCATAAAAGCGCCGCTTACGTAATTTCACAGTGGTGTCAATTACATTTCAAATCAACTTTTCAAACAGCAAACAGCTAGCATCTTATCTAACCATCGCAATCAGGGTCTTTGAAGATACGTTGAGACTAACTGTATTAATTCATTCCCAGTGCAGTTATAGCCACAGCACAGTTACTGGACCCACATGGAGCCCCTTCAGAGCGCTGTCTGAACGGAACTATCCCAGACACTTTGTCTGGGTCCGGCTCGGTGCGCCATGACACACAGGCACCCAGACCTCCTGTCTGGACAGCAGTTTCCGAGAAGGCGTCGTTTTCTGCGAGATGAGTCACAGTCGACGGCTGGCCGGTCGGCCCGTCGGCCTCCAATAGGCCGGTCATCGATTCATTGATCGTCTGAATCGGTCCGGAGCGGATGGTGCTTCGAGCCGACCCGACCCGGGCCAACGCCGGTGAATTGTCCGACCGATAACACACTGCTCGTCGCCCGCCCATGGCGCGATTTTAATGCACCGTTATGGTTGTGTCAAGTTAGGCTAAAGACAGGTTTTAATTTCATAATGGTGTGATTAGGTGATGGTGGAGCGACTGGCCTGCGATACGATAACGACAGGCAGACAGACATACAGACGGGCTGGAAAATGTCACCCTGGCTCAGCACGCCTGAAATGGCCACATTTCACCGAGCGATGACCATAAATCTAGCTGCCTGGCCAACTCGAAGCTATGGTGCTGGTTTTTGGCCAGGCAAACAGGGCGGCGGCCGTGGGCGTGGACTTTGCTGTATGCGGCGGGTCACCCGGCGTTTGCATATTGTCATTGAGTAGTTCGCTGAGTTACCAAGTTCGCCAGTACAGTTACTGGCTTTTGTGTAGTTTCGGTGATTTGGCACACGCATGCACCTTTACCAGCATTGATGCCTGCAACGTAATTAATCGCTCAGTTCATTAAATAGAGCAATATCATGAGCGGAGTAATATTAACACTTACTTTTGGCTGTTTTATAATTTAGTGCAATCAGTGAGATACTTTTTGTTTGGTGTAAAAACATAAGCCTCTCCTTTTCACACAATAAATGCGGAACGTTCCATGCTGCGCCGTTTCGGCCGAGGAAGCCAAACGTCGTTCTAGTAGCCTAGTTCTTATCCACCCTTCGCACCCATCCCCGTTCTCCCCAATGCCCTCAGACACGTCTGGACCCAGAAATCGTCGAGAAAAGGCGTGGTCTGACGGCCCTTGGCCTGACCTTCGACTGCAGAGAAGTTATTGGTTATGACTTACCAATATCTGTCTGAAGGGAGAATTTCATCAGAGCTGACCTTCGAGAAACTTGGTCGCGCCGTATCTCATAGAATATGGACGGAACGATGGCGGAGAAATAAGCAAATGCATAGGAAATAAGGATTCAAGACTTATGGAAGAGATAATGTCATGAATGTCAGACATGCTCTGATTCAAATGCTCATAAAAATAACAAAAATAAAAACAAGTGAATAGAACAAAATAGTAAACAACCATTTCATGTTTTAGTTCGGCCTATAACATACGAGAAAATTGGATGCAGAGCTACGTAATCTATGTATAACAGCTTGATGGACAGGTCTTCTCGAAAAGACGGCATAACCTCGAGTCGTCACTGGAATTGCGAGTGACCGCACGAAGTGGGTACTGGGTAGTCCGCGACTGCCCGAATTCCGACCACGTCTCAGGACCATCCAGCTCACTGGATTCAGTTCTCGTGTCACATCAGCAGCCGCTCTTCGTGACGGGGTTCTGAATCGCCGCTGGGACACCTAACCAGTCTCTGACGTGCGCAGTCTACATTTGTTGATGACGCTCATGCATAGGAACAGCCCAGCATCAAGTGGCAAAAGCAAGGATCAGAGTGAAGAAGATACGCTGTTATAATGATGCAATCGGTCGATGACTGGCTGGCGATTTGATGAGCGTTTTTTGTTGGTATTGTAATAAAATTGCGCGCATTCAGTAGTTGCCGTCGAGCAATTACTTGTTTGGAAATGAAATGCAAATGACTTCTGGTCAACTTCTCAGCTTCTGGGTCACGACCTCAATGACTACTTCATTTTTCCACTTATGTTAATTGCAGCACTCGCTCATGCTGACCATAAAACATATACCAAATAATTGAATATGTGCGTAATAAGTCATGCACGTAACAAATAGCCTAATCTGCATGACTGCATGTTAGTGTTACGTGACAGATTGGCTGGAATTAATAATCAATAATCCATAAATTATCTAATTGAATCAGGTTTCGGACATCCGACACCTCTATTATGTGCGCCATCCATCTCTACGATCACCTCCACTCGGTGCGGCGGCCGCTGGCGAGCCCCTGCACACCTGCTCGGCTCCACACCAGCCAGCGCGTCCATCGATATCGCTGTCATCGCCGGCGCTCCCCATCGCCGGCGCTTCGGCAGACACCGGGGCGATGTATCGATACTCGGCCGGGACTCACCCCGCGGCGTGTCGTCCGCGGCGGCTACGTGAGCCACGAGTTGGTAGGTACCACGGTGGTGAGTGGTGGCGGCAGGGAGGGCCGGCCATTCACCCCGGGCCCGTGTGAGAATCCCGACATGCCACCGCCCACCGTCCCCCTTGCCCCAACATCAACCGCATTCTAGCACAGACAGGGAGTTATAGTTGCATGCCAAGGCATTGTCGAAGGCCCGGTAAGACGGTTGTTGGAGCTTTGCGCATACCGCGCCGCTGTAACGGAAAGGTGTAATGGTGCGTCGTCACCCCACGACAGTGTCATATTCCAGTTGGTTTTATGGAGTTCGAGTCAAAGTATAGACCCCTAGATCGATTAAAACTCAAAACTCGTGTGGTTGGTAAAGTGGGATACACGCGCGATTTACCACCTAAAACGGTCCCAGCTGCCCCATCGTTAGCGGTTGTGATTATGGCTATTAACTAGCAAATTTAGTGCATGCTGATGTCCGCGTGATATAAGACTGCAGCATCATTTTACGTTCCACGCTGAAGGTTGCAGTTCGAAATTGCATAAAATGTAGAGACCGACACCCAGACAGCACCCATAACTAGTGACTTGACATTACCCTGCATTGCCCCTATCATCGCATTTATTCTTCCACGAAAAGCCGCCCGGTAACGGCGTCGCGATTTCTGTAAACACTGCCCGATACACGGCCGATTTGGCAACAAACGGTGCCTGCCCATGCAACTGGGCCGGGCCATTGCAGAATGCAGGGCGGCGGCCCGGCCGGCCGGTCGCTCGATTACTTCCTTTCACGGCCGGCGCGTGCCGTGCCGACGGCCGTCCGTCATTCCGGCAGACCCCCGTCGGTGACGACAGTCCGGAGCAGTTCCACTTGACCGGCCCGTCGAGCCGCCCACCTGGAGGGCTCATTACCACCCTTGTTTACCCCTCGACTGACCCTCGCCGCCGCCGCCGCCGGACCCCTTCTGCGCCCCTGAGCGTGACGTCAGGTGGGTGCAC